CATCAAACGGAACAAGCGATCACAGAACGCAAATTATATATCTGAAATACAACTTGCTTACTATTTTTTTATCAATATCAAATACTACTGGCTAACTAAACGAAATAAATTATATATATCAAATAGAATTGGCTAAATCATTTTTTTATATAAATATCAAATAGAATTGGCTAACTCTAAAAAATGTATAAATATCAAACTCTACTGGGTAACACAGAAAACGAATACATATTTCAAACGCAACTGGCTTACTAAGAAAACAATTTGTTAATATCAAATACAATTGGCTAACTCTAAAAACAAATCTTATACACGTACCTCAAATACAATTAGCTAACCAAAACAAAGATATACCTCAAATATAACTGGCTAACTCAGAAAACAATTTATAAATATCAAATACAATTGGCTTACTCTAAAAACAAATTGTAAATATCAAATACAATTGACTAACTCTAAAAACAAACAATAAATATCAAATACAATTGGCTTTATAAGGAAACAATTTATAAATATCAAACACAACTGCCTTACACAGAAAATAATTTCTTATTTGTCTATAACGCAACTGGTTAAAAATGATAACGCAACTGCCTACCTTAAACAATAAACGATAAATATTATTATATAATAGAATTAAAAAGGAAAAGAATGAAGTCCAAAAGCACAAATACAGAACAAAGAAACTTACGGCAAACATGGAACAAATAAACAGATAATTGATAAATAAATAAATGACTGAATGAACGAACGAATGAATGAAAAAGTAAATTAAAGAATATTGCAAATATAAAGCAAACATGGTAACCATGGCAAACATTGACAATTACAGAAATTAAAGAGCTAATATCAACAAAAATCACATATGGTAAACATAGAATACTTAACACAAATCACAAATATTGACCATAACATCAACATAGAACATATATATTAAACCATTGAATACAGCGAGCAGGATATATCAACGTTTTGTTTCCCCTCATTATAAATGTGTTTCTGGGTAGGATACTGATTAAAGTCATTGTGTTTTACGGCAATATCAGAATAAGTTGGATTTTGACAGCCAGGAAGTGATTTATGTTAAATGCCCCTCTCTCTCGAACAACGGACACTGTGGATAATGTTGACGTCATATGTAAAATTATTCATTTCCTGTTGTCTCCTGCAGGAAGTTGTTACGGTTTCCTGTTTTCTACGAACATGCATTACACATACATGTACAATACAGTTAATGAAATTAAAATTTCCCTATAAACGTTGTATATAGCCACGATTATAATAAAGCAATTGCTCATAGGTCATGCGTACAGTACACATGCTGTTTTTATATACGTATATTACCATCTTATGTGTCGATTTTAACTAACGATGTGTAATTGCATAATAAAATATGCAAGACAATGTTTTGATGCATTTTCTGTGTATAAGAATAACAAGTGGCCCAGAAGGCCTGTATCGCTGTTGATATTTAATTTACTACGTTTCCCAAAGGGACATACTGATACATATTTTGATTAAAACAGATATTTCAATAGGTATGAATCTCGCCGCGTCTGTTCACGCATTCCATAAACACCTATATCATATTTAATTCATCGATTAGTTAAAAGATTCTTTTACGTTCATGATTTCATTTTTTTTTTATTATTAAACATTATCAACAATAAATGTATTGAATTCCGAATTTTGTCCGATTCGGTAATTATTTTATCATCGTAAGAAATACGGTAGATGAAAAATGTATATACATATATATATATATTCTTACGCCAATTTTGTAAACAGTTACATGTACCGACGCATGGACGTTTACTGTTACCAGTGCAGTATACAGTCGATATGAATGCAATTTAGGTGACAGATAAATAAAATGTCGCCCGTTATATTTTGTCATAATTTGTCAAGTTGCTTTAATGACCTACATTGCTAAATGCTAACGAACCCAGAAAATTCTGACCGATTGATATCGGATGTGACAGCTGGCGGCCATGTTTGTTTACCTATAGTTCTAGTACAAATTTGCCCCAAACATTGCTGCAATAATCTTTGGAAAATCTTATCCTATTAAAAATGTTTTCGAATGTTTCTTAGTTCCTGACTGTATAGTCTTACATTTCCTGTATATCCCCCCCCNCACACATCGCTTCTGTTTCCATATTCAAGGTTTTACGATCACTCCCCGTGGTTTTATGTTTTCTCTTTCTTTCTTACTAAGACGATGTGTGCGTTCGATTTCCACATATCTGTCATCGCTAGCCTCAGCCAAGTCGATTTTGCACCATACATTCGCGTACCTTTTCTTCACATTGTTCCCATGGTACTGATTCTGTTTCATCAATTCCACAGAATATCAAATTATCTCTACGACTTAAGACTTCCAGCATTCTCATTTTATTTCTTAAATCATCGTCCTCCCACCTTAAATTGTCCATTTCTTCCTTTAATCTGTCCTTAATGTTTTGTTTCAGTTCCCTTGTACATGAATGTAGAATCTGCAATCTGTCTAGAGGGCTGTTTCAACTGCTGCGGGATTTCCCTTGAATCAATAATATCAACGTTCATTTCTTTCTCCTTCGAGTTTAACACCATCTAGCCACTAATATACATTAATGATAATGCCAATGTATTTGGATCAGCTGCTCGTCTGTTTGCAGATGATACATCTTTATTTAATTCATCCTCATCATGTCGAATAGGGATCTAGTGATTTTAAACTTTTGGTCTAAAATTTTGTTGATAATATTTAAGCCAAAGAAAAATAATGTAATACTTATTTCAAATTGTATCGGCATTGAGAAAGATTTAGAGTAGGAATTTGATGGAATAGATTAAAACTGTACAGCCCATGCATCATACGCATCTGGGAGTAGTTTTGAATTCCAGGACAAAGTGGGAGAGTCATCTCAATGCGTTTTAGAGTTTTGCTATATAGAAAATTAATGTCTCACAAAGTTATAAATATTCTTAAATCGAAAGAGTCTTCACAAATTTAAAAAAACTTTATTTTATTAAGTTTTATCTCAAATGCACAACAAATTAAATCCAGACTCCTTTAACGATCTCCTGTCACCTACTATTGCGGGAAATAGCCGGTAAACTATTAGAAATAGCAGTGATTATTGAGTTCCTTTATTTGGGCTTTCTCTCACAAATCTGTCCGTTATATCTTCCACTCTTTTAACCTGGAATTCTTGCGTGTTATCCGTACGATCGTTGCCTTCTAAAATGTTATTTAAAAACTCTCTAACCTTAAATGTACAAACCTCCTATCTACTTCAGTTTTGCAGACCGGACGTTGAATATCACACATACTTAACTAGGGCTAAAGTGATGTCCCCTTCAGTATGACCTTTATATGACGAGACGTGTCGAAAGTCCAGTTTGCAATTATGATTAGGTAATGAAACATGTATAATGTTTCAAAATTTGAATGCCTTAGCTATAGAGTTAAATTTAGAGTTTCTTCTGTTGGCAGTTCAGATCAAATCCAGCAATATATTTTAAACATTTTTCTGAGGTCGTGTATTGGTATCTATGTGGATATTGCATATGTTTACTTTATGTTTATGCCTATTATCATTGTTAGTATGTAGGTGTAAATATATGACGAGAGCTTTGATAAGTTTTATTAATTTGTGCCAAATCCTTTGTTCAAATTAATTGCCATTAAAATATGTTTGAATTAAATGTATAAGCAATTCTTTTCCTCGTATATACAGCACGGGGGGAATTCAATAGTGTGGTGAAAAAATTATTATGTAGAATTATTAACATTATTACTGCAAATATGAAATGTTCTTTTTCATAAAGTTTATGATTAAATTTTATTTATTTAATGTTTGGTTAAAATTGAAGGCAGATTTACTTTAATCGATTCGATAATATTTTTCTTTTCAGAACAAAAATGCATATTAATATAAAATGCAATACGAATAAATACTTACGGAAACTTACTCACTACGTAAATAATGTTTATTTACTTATAGTTGTATTTATCAGGATTATGAAATATTAAATATGACATATAAGGCCTTTAAAATTTATTATGCCATGTATATTCCGGGTAGCCTGCAAATATGTAGTTAGTCAGATGGACTCGAGAATCAATATGATAACGAGGCAGGGCAAACATTCCCTTACATAGGCTGTTTTTTGTGGTTGTTGTGGTTATGATTTACATTTATCAACGTAAACAAACTCTAACGGGTTTCAAGTTAAAATGTCCTTTCACGCCCATATCATTTAGACTACAATCTATAAAGCTAATACGGTGTTTATACTTTTGTGTAATGTCACGCTACCACAATTGATACAATTTTGACATTTTTTCAGTGATATTTAATCATCTAGATATTGTATCTGGAATGTTTCTTGATTCTTGACAAAAATGCCCATGTTGATTCAATATCAGGAAAAAGTTTTGGTTTTAAAAATAGAATGCTAAACTCGGTGTGAGATTTGATCCGTTTTTTGGCCATTTAGTACCATATCACATGCTATCAAACTTGAATTCTTCAAAACAATGTCGACGTACCTCATTTTTTTCCTGATCTACTGACATCGTTACTTTGAAGTCATCGTGTACTCTTACAATACCTCTGAAAACAAAACTGTTTAGTTGAAATACTAATAAATATTTCTAGTGTCAGAGGAAAATAAACAAATTCAATTTTAAAGTACTATTTAAACCATTTTCTGACCAACTACTAAATTGGGGCTGGGTTTGACCTCTTACTATATAAAAATATAAAAAATATCATCAAAACAGACACATTATTGAAAACTCTACATAATTCAATATTCAATATTTGCAATATATTAAACATAAATGAGTATTTGCTCTATACTTGGAGTTCTCGGTTATTGCTTAGCACGAATTAACGTAAAAAAATTAGGTGACGTCATTTTCAGCTAACGGAAATCCTCCATGCAAGCAAGCAAGCACGTGCGAATAAACAGAAAACATGAAACAAATGTCTTCAAAATCTATATGTATTTTAATCAGTTGTTCAATAGCACAAGTCAATTAAAAATTGAATAAATATTCTTTAAAACAACAATACTGACAAGTATATGCCCTCCGTAGCAGCATCTGTCAAAAGGACAAAAACCGAAAAAGGACAAAAGAATGCTGCAATCAATAGGTTATATGTTATATATACTCTTTCACCTTCATACTTGCGATTTACAGAAACAATAATTTCGTAGAAACTTATCATTGATGCACTGCGACTGTGTGCCGTATTTGTTTGTTCTAGTGATGTCGCCTATCAGAATGACTTCTCCGTCGGTCTCAACATGCGCAGTCACTTCGAACAAGGCACCACCCGGTGTAGTTTCTATTAAAACCGTGTATTTATTTTCATCTTCAACTGGTGTATTGAAAAATTCTTTGATCGTGAATGTTTTTTTCGTCTCATAACGCTTGAAGTTTGACGTAACTAGCTGGGCATCTTTTATTTGAGACAAGTGTAATACCTCACACACCTCTCTATGATCATTCAGGAGGCGATTGATTTTGTCTACGCTGAAATTAACTACTTTCTGTACTTCCGGCGACTTCATATCAGCAGGTTTGCTTACGAAACATGGGCAAAACTGTTCACTTATGCCAGCATCTGCACAGGTCCGTTCTTTTGGAATTTTCCGGAAAAGACTGATTCCTCTTGGAGGTTTTTCGCGCTGCGTTGTCTTCAGCTGCAGATCAAAATTCTGGTGTAATATATCGTCAATCATTGCATGCACATCAAAAGCCGTTGTTAGAACTTTTGTATTTTCTTTCATTGTATCCACAAGGCCTTGGTGTTGTTGTTTAAAACGTCCAGGAAGTACTATGGTAAGTAGAGGCATTCTGGCCTCTATTCTTCCAACCGCGGTGTTCCTCAAGTCGTCAATTCTGCTCCCGTGGTCACTCATAAACATTAAAACTGTGTTATCAAAGTGACCTTCGATTTTCATCCAATGAAGAAAATCCGTAAAATCTTGATCTGCGATCTCGAGAAAATCTGGGTAGTCATGTCCAAGTTCACTCATCCATGAAAACCCGAACTTCAATTTGGTTTTATATGCGTTCAAAAATCTTTTACAATACTCCAGGTAAATGATATGTTTCAACCGGTCTTTGTAACACAACGAAGATGGCACTAGTTTAATATTCTTATTTTCAAAGTAAAGATTAACCTGTTCCAGAGATGTAGATACTGGTGCTTGTTGTTTCATCGCAAGATACATGGGCCGTAAATAATGGTCACTTGGCGGTACGTTGAAGCCGTGTGATAAATAATTAAACGTTGAAAAGTACGGCCAGTCCTCGGCAAAGAAAGTAACGTAACCGGCTTTGGAATAATTATACTGAATAAGAGGGTATTTATCATAGTAATATTGTCCCCAGGCGGGACCTAGTTCATCTTTGTTGGCATGCTTGCCTGTCAACAATGGAACAACGTTAGGGAAAGTATTGCCACCCACTTTTGTATATCCTTTAAAAGTGATTCCTTCCAAATCCTCTTCAAGGTATTTCATAGCTTTTGGAATTTTCCTCAGTGCACCGGTCCTAGATAATGAATCTATTCCAAAAAGGAGCACGTTAAATTGGTAAGAAAATGCAGTTTTTACTTTCTTGGAATTTAAGACAGTTCTAAAATCTACGTTTGTAAGTACACTTTTGTATATAAGCTTGGCATTTTTATCCAAACAACTAGCGACTACAACGTCACTTTTAATGTATTCCGGTTCCTTGAAACGTACTTCCGGTTTAAAGACGACTTTATCATCGCCTCCGCTACGTTCCACGGGGTTGTAAGCACAGTCTATGTCCGACTTTGCAATTTTTCGCGTAGCCAGTGATGTGGCGTTAAACTGAATAAGGCCGTCCATGTCTATAAACAATAATGGCTTACTATCACTACATGAGGGCGGCTTAGGGTGCCAGTCAAATTTCATAATCTCCTCGTCAAATGGATCTACATCTGGTATGACACACTGCGCATGCACATCGCCGTGACGTAAGTCTAAAGTTATCGGAGTATTGTATTTGTGGTTAATACAAAATAACAAAAACAAAACACACACGACAAAGACTATTGCTTTTTGCCTGAAATTTAGCGACCGCATTTTATAGATGTATGATTGAAGTTTGCCACTCGTCATCTCGAGCAGTTACACACATTGAACGGAGGATGATAGTTAACCATTAGTATATGTAAATTTGGGTAAAAATGTATACTACCTTAGAAAGTCCTTCATTAAAACGAGTCTGGGTTTGTAAATATCCTATAGGTATGCAGATAAGTTACTGCTGACGTCATTCAAAGAATTGACGCTTAGATGTGACAACACTTATGAAATAAATTTAATTCTATATGCGTTTCTTCATGACTTAGATAATAAGCTGTTAAGAGACATTCCGAGTTGATAGTTCATTAAGCGCTCTTTCGAGACTTACACTTTCTATATTCCGAGATCCATACACGTTTCCTCTGAAACGCGTTAATTATTTCCAACTTTACAAGGAACGTCCGAGTCACCAAACTCCACGACACCTGAAATCAAAACAGAAACACAATGCACAGTGCAATATTACTCGTTTAATAATATTACACGAAAAAAAAAGCATAGCTATGTTAACATTTCTATACAAATATATTGGCATTGTCCGATTTAAACAAATCTGAAGGGTTTGTACAGCTTACAGTTTCTAAAATGGAACGACCGATAATGGTACTTTCCAGATTCGAGGATGGAATAACCTGCTTTATCACATACCTGTTGAATCTTGTTATAGTAATACAAGCAATTTTCAGACTATGAAATACAACGTTCTGTATTGCACATGTGCAATACGGAATGTTGTATTTACCTACTAGCCGGAACTACTTTTTATAGGAATCCCCTTGTCATGGCGAACTGAAAAGTTCGCGGTATTTGCAAAAAATATCAAAGTTTATAAAAGCTTTGTATCGATCTCTTCCAAATACGGAAGGTATGTGATAAAACCAAGACCACACACTTGTGTTTTTCTAAAGAATAAGAAAGCACTCATTTATTGCGCGGACGTATATATTCACTCGTGCGTTCAGCGCACTCGTGAATATATTCGTCCGCGCAATAAACTCGTGTTTTCTGATTCGTTAGAAAAACACAAGTGTGTGGACTTGCATATGTATTCACCAAATATAGACTGCATGTATTTTCGGGCCATAGAACAAAACACACCTGGACGTCATTGGAAAAGAATACACCTCTGCCCGTATTCATGATACTATTCTCATGCTCAAGCATTGATTTTGTGCTCAAACTTAATTTTATGTTTCGTTTATAAATTAATTTTAAATAATTTTGGAATGAAATGAAGAGACAAAGCCCAATACTGTCTTCAGTGTTGACATTTGACTTTTTGGTCGTTTGACATGATTAAAGTGAGTTACAAGAAAGTTGGTTTGGGCACAAAATCCCGGCTTGAGCATAAAAACGGTTTCATGAATACGGGGACTGGTGTTGCCGCAACTGATGTGGAATCGCATACAGAATATGGATTTTTTCTTATGTGTCTACCCACCACATAGGTTATATTTATAATTAGTTCCAGTATCAAAGAAATATTAAATTATTCCATAAATACCATCAGTTAAAGCCTATTAAAATATAAGAGTTAAAATTATAAAATAATAAGGTTAAGACTTTAAGTTGACCCATCAACACCGTTCATGTTATGTACGGGGCCCATTTGATCGAAAGGGAATTTAAAAGTTTAAAGTTGAGTACTCTTGGATTTTAAAGTATACCCTTTTTATCGATTTGCATGCAGATATTAAATGAGATTGCTTCATAATATATGTTTTCGTATAATGAATAGTTGTCTTGAAGAGAAGAATACATGTAAAGTATGCTGAGGAATACATAAAAAAAACCTCCTTCAAATACATCCTTTCAAAACCTATTACCATTAGTTTTGGGCCATTGTGCATGACGTCATGGATATTTAAACTTATTGTAAATACAGTAGTCTGTTACAGGCCAGAAAGCGAAACTAAATCCAACGGTAATAAATGCGCTCTATGGAATGGCAAGTAATCATTTGTTTGACACAGGTGTAAACAGAAAATGGTCGATAATCTAATGTAAACAAAAATGTATAAGCTTGTTGTGCTACCTGTAAAACATTGAAACCCTTTTAGGAAGGCAAAATATGCGCCCCCGACGAGTTCAAGGCGATACAGCTTTGATGTATACTGTAAGACGGTGTGCCGGGTGTGGTATGCCTATGGAAAGCTGTATTGTTTTGTTCAATTAGGATTGATGTTTCTTTGGGTGTTAGTAGGTAGAGTTAGGAAGGCAGCGCGTGTTGTGTGTAGGAACAAAATTGTCAACGTGCATTGTGTGTTAGGGTAAAGGTGTGAGTATGCGATGTGACGTTAAGGTTTACAATACGCTAGTCATATATTCTGGTGAAGTACACGTGAATACGGTGTGTGTTAGTGTGAAATTTACAGTGTCAATGTTGAAGGAAACAGTGAGTATGTTGTGGTAGTGTTAAGGTTGAAGGTGACAGTATAATGTGAGTTAGTGTGAAGTTTTACAATGTCAATGTTGAAGGAAACAGTGAGTATGTTGTGTTAGTGTTAGGGTTGAAGGTGACAGTATGTTGTGAGTTAGTGTGAAGTTTTACAGTGTCAATGTTGAAGAAAACAGTGAGTATGTTGTGGTAGTGTTAAGGTTGAAGGTGACAGCATGTTGTGAGTTAGCGTGAAATTAACAGGTGTCAATTTTGAAGGAAACAGTGAGTATGTTTTGTTAGTGTTAAGGTTGAAGGTCACAGTATGTTGTGAGTAAGTGTGAAGTTTACAGAGTCAATGTTGAAGGATACAGTGATTGTGTTGTGTAAGTGTTAAGGTTGAAGGTGACAGTATGTTGTGAGTTAGTGTGAAGTTTTATAGTGTCAATGTTGAAGGAAACGGTGAGTATGTTGTGTTAGTGTTAGGGTTGAAGGCGACAGAATGTTGTGAGTTAGTGTGAAGTTTTACAATGTCAATGTTGAAGGAAACAGTGAGTATGTTGTGTGCTACTTTAAAGGGTGAATGCTACAGTGCATGCGTTGTGTGTTTGTGTGATGTTAACAGTGAGTGCGCTGTGTGAAAGTGTTAAGGTTGGAGGTTATGGAATGTGTGAAATTTAAGGTTACATGGAATAAGGTTTGTGTTGGTGTGAAGTTAAGTATTCGTGTTGTGTGTATATGCGATAGTTGAAGATTACAGGGAATATGTTGTGTGTTTATGTGAAGTTGACAGTGTTTATGTTGTGTCTAGGGTTGGCAGTGATTATATGTGAAGTTGACAGTGTTTATGTTGTGTCTAGGGTTGGCAGTGATTATATCGTATAATTTGGTGATATATATATCGTGAAATCGCTGTGAAAAAGGATTAGTTTTATGTTAACATTGCGTGTAAGTGTTGAAGGTCACAGCATGCAGTGTGTGTGTTAAGGTTGAAGTATACAGTGAGTATGTTAAGTGTTATTGTTAAGGTTGAAGGATACAGTGACTATGTTGTTTGTTAGTATTAAGGTTGAATGATAAAGTGAATATGTTGTGTGTTAGTGTTAAGGTTGAAGGATACAGTGAATATGTTGTGTGTTAGTGTTCAGGTTGAAGGATACAGTGGGTATGTGGTATGTTAGTGTTAAGGTTGAAGGATACAGTTAGTACATGTATGTTGCTATTAGTTTGAAGGTTGAAGAATACAGTGAGTATATTCTGTTAGTGTGAAAGTTGAAGGATAAGTGAGTATGTGGTGTGTTAGTGTTAAGGTTGAAGGATACAGTGAGTATGTTGTGTGTTAGTGCTCAGGTTGAAGGATACAGCGAGTATGTTGTGTTAGTGTTAAGGTTGAAGGATACAGTTAGTATGATGTATTGAAGTGTTTATGATAAAGGATACAGTGAATATGCTGTGTTAGTATTATTGTTGAAGGATACAGTGAGTATGTTGTATGTGAGTATTAATGTTGAAGGATACAGTGAGTATGTTGTGTGTTATTGTTAAGGTTGAAGGATACAGTGAATTTGTTGTTTGTTAGTGTAAAGGTTGAAGGATACAATGAATATTTTGTGTGTTAGTGTTAAGGTTGAAGGATACAGTGAGTATGTGGTATGTTAGTGTTCAGGTTGAAGGATACAGTTAGTACATGTATGTTGCTATTAGTTTGAAGGTTGAAGGATACAGTGAGTATGTTGTGTGTTAGTGCTAAGGTTGAAGGATACAGCGAGTATGTTAAGTTAGTATTAATGTTGAAGGATACAGTTAGTATGTTGTGTTAGTCTGAATGTTGAAGGATACAGTGAGTATGTTGTATGTTAGTGTTAAGGTTGAAGGATACAGTGAATATGTTGTTTGTTAGTGTTAAGGTTGAAGGATACAGTGAATATGTTGTGTTAGTATTAAGGTTGAAGGATACAGTGAGTATGTTGTGTTAGTATTAAGGTTGAAGGATACAATGAGTATGTTGTGTAAGTGTTAAGGTTGAAGGATACAGTGAGTATGTTGTTACTAGTGTTAAGGTCGAAGGATACAGTGAGTATGTTGTCTGTTGGTGTTAAGGTTGAAGGATACAGCGAGTATGTTAAGTTAGTATTAATGTTGAAGGATACAGTTAGTATGTTGTGTTAGTCTGAAGGTTTAAGGATACAGTGAGTATGTTGTATGTAAGTGTTAAGGTTGGAGAATACAGTGAGTATGTTGTGTTATTGTTAAGGTTGAATTAGGGTGAAATTTACAGTGTCAATGTTGAAGGACACAGTGAGTATGTTGTTACTAGTATTAAGGTTGAAGGATACAATGAGTATGTTGTGTAATTGTTAAGGTTGAAGGATACAGTGAGTATGTTGTATGTTAGTGTTAAGGTTGAAGGATACAGTGAGTATGTTGTGTTAGTGTTAAGGTTGAAGGATACAGTGAGTATGTTGTATGTTAGTGTTAGGTTTGAAGGATACGGTGAGTATAATGTATGTTCGTGTTAAGGTTGAAGGAAACAGAGAGGGTGTTGTATGTAAGTGTTAACGTTGAAGTATACAGTGAGTATGTGGTGTGTTAGTGTGAATGTTGAAGGATACAGTGAGTATGTTGTATGTTAGTGTTAAGGTTGAAGGATACGGTGAGTATAATGTATGTTCGTGTTAAGGTTGAAGGAAACAGAGAGGGTGTTGTATGTAAGTGTTAAGGTTGAAGTATACAGTGAGTATGTGGTGTGTTAGTGTGAATGTTGAAGGATACTGTGAGTATGTTGTATGTTAGTGTTAAGGTTGAAGGATACAGTGAGTATGTTGTGTGTTTGTGTGGAGTTTACAGTGTTAATGATGTGTGTGTGTGTGGAGTTTACAGTGTATATGTTATGTGTTAGTGTGAAGATACAGTGTTAATGGTGTGTGTAAGTGTTTATGATGAAGGATACAGTTAGAATGCTGTGTGTTTGTGTGAAGTTTACAGTGTATATGTTGTGTGTTAGTGTTAAGGTTGAAGGATACAGTGAGTTTGTCCTAAGTATGAAGTTGACAGTGTTTTTATCGTGTGTAAGTGTGAAGATTGAAGGATGAAGTATATTGAGTGTTAGTGTTTAATTTATAGTGTTTCGGTTGTGTAAAAGTGTTAAGTTAGGTTGAAAGTTACACGTAGTACGCTGTGTGTTTGTGTAAGGTTTACATTTTGTTATTTTTATTAGATGTTTGTGTGAATTTCATAGTTTGTTTGTTGTATGTAAGTGTGAAGGTTGCAGGATACAGTTACATTGTAGTATGTTGTGTGTTAATGCACAGTTTACTGTGTTTATGTTGTATGTTAGTGTGAAGGTGGAATGGTGAATTTAGTATGTTGTGTGTTTGTGTGAAGTTTATAGTGTATATATTGTGTGTAAGTGTAAAGGTTGAAGGGTACAGTAAGTATGTTGCGTTTTCTATTATTGTTGACAGTATACCCATTTTCCGCTCTCTGTGGGTTAATATTGTTGAGAAGCCCCGAAAACGTAATGTTCAGTAAAACATGTCTAGATCAGATCTCCCAGATTACTGATTATGAAGGGGGTCTCAAAGGGATCTCTTCTTAAGTAAACATTGTGGTAAAATGATAACCAGAAGATAAAGCCGAATATATACAGTACTATTGATCTTAACTGTTATCTTCAATGTAGAACGATAAAGCCAAACATTACAAATAATATTGATCTAGGGTACTCGTTTTTATTAAAGAACCCAACAACGAAGGAACGAAATACATTAAAATCTGAAGAACTATGCTGCAGACCTGCAAGTGGTCCCATATTAGTCGTCTATTCAGTTAACGTTGGTTGGAACGTCTTCGCAACAGTCAGGTTTATTTGAGGACGGGTTCAGTTAACGTTCGATGAATATAATTTGCTATGTGCTACTACTTATATTATGCGTTTGTGATAAATATGTGACGATATGTCTCAAACAGATCAAAATTTGATCAGGCTACAATATATATATATTCTTAGTAATGTATTGATATATATATAAAAAATAAATATTTGTAGATATCTCGGTTTTTTACATCTCCGTGATGTTCCTAGTCCAAGAGAACGTACTGGGACGGGTTAGAACATTCGAGTCGGTCTTAAAAATGTACCCAAGCCCAGATATTAAAATAAAGTTCGTAGGTTGCGATTTCTTTTATAGTGAACAGTGTTTTTTTGACCTCTTTTTATTACTTGGTAGAGAGGTTTGGTTTAGTATTGTGCAACGACCTATCAACAGCTATGGTCATTTAAGGACGGCCTCCCCTGTGTGCAAGATCCATGCGTCTAGTGTCTGCGTGTGTGTTTTGGGAGGCTGCGATATCTTTGTGTTTGTCTCATTGTGATAGCGCAGAACTGATGCCGACTTTATAGTGCCACCTTACTGAAACATACTGCCGAAGACTCCCAGCAGGACACCCCTCTCGGTCACCTTATAGTGACAACGGGCGAACCAGTCGTCCCGCTCCTAAATTGCTGGGTGTTAAGCAGGAGTAGAAACTACCAGTTTTACAGACTCTGGTATGTCCCGGCCGGGGGACAGAACCCAAAGCCTTCCTCACAGGGGCGAACGCTCAAATAAAGGCCAAAAGTTAGGCATTGTCAAGGGAGACATTAGGAAGAAGAAAGTTGTTTAGGAAGAAGAGAAAAGATACGATCCCAAATTTAGTCGCCTCTTACGATCATGCAATGGGGGCAGCAGGTACAATTCTTACGCTCTACCTGCAGGGACGTTAATTGGTGTTAAGGTTAAGTTGTCAAAATGTGTTGTGAGGTATTTGCAAATAGGTTTGGTATTGTGGCGGTATTTGCCAAAATGTGTTATTGTGTGGTATTGCCAAAAAGTGTTGTTGTGTGGTTATTGCTATTAGGTGTTATTGTGTGGGTATTATCAATAGATGTTGTGTTTTAATTGTCAATAGGTGTTATGTGGTAATTGTCAATAGGTGTTGTTGTTTAGAGATTTCTAATAGATGTTGTGTATTATTTGTCAATAGGTGTTGGTTGTTGTGTGGTAATTATGAATAAGTGTTGTGTATTAGTTTTCAAAAGGTGGTGTTATGTGGTAATTGTTAATTGGTGTTGTTGTGTGTTTATTGCCAATATGTGTTGTGTCTTAGCTGTCAATATGTGTTGTTATGTGGTTATTGTGAATATGTGTTGTGTCTTAGTTATCAATAGGTGTTGTTGTGTGGTAATTGTTAATAGGTGTTTTTGTGTGTTTATTGCCAATATGTGCTGTGTCCTAGCTGTCAATATGTGTTATTATATGGTAATTGTGAATATGTGTCGTGTCTTAGTTGTCAACAGGTGTTGTTGTGTGGTAATTGTCGATAAGTGTTGAGTATGAGTTGCCAATAGGTGGTGTTTTGTGGTAATTGTCGATAAGTGTTGAGTATGAGTTGCCAATGGGTGGCGTTTGTGGTAATTATCAATAAGTGTTGAGTATTAGTTGCCAATAGGTGGTGTTTGTGGTAATTGTCGATAGGTGCTGCACTATCTGCCGATATGTGGTGTTTTGTGGTAATTGTCAATAGGTGTTGTACTAGCTGCCAATAGGTGTTGCTGTGTGGTAATTGTCAATTGATGTATTAATTGTCAATATGTGTTGTGTGATAGTTGTCAATGTTTTCAATTTGAGTTGATATGTGTTCAGAGGAAATTGTCTGTCACCTTTTCTTGTGTTAGATAAATAAATTCAATATGGCTACGTCCGATGATGCAGTGCTAACAAAAGTCACATTCATTTCGTTATATCATTGTTCTAATGTATCGCCTAAAGGTAGACCCTTTTTCTAAGATTGGATTATAATACATCTATACATTTCACTGGACGTTTCACGTACCTGTAAGCGTTTCTTTCAGCACATGTGCCTGTGTTTCCTATTCTTGTATTTTGAGCTATGGAATCGAGACTGGGGTATCGTTATCTTTCCTTACCCTACCCGACCCTTACTAGGATACAGATAACATTCTCTACCCATTCACATCAGACACGTATACATTGACCACGTGGTTTTATATCTTGTCCAACAACGCAGGTCAAACTTGATAAACGTTTAATCATATACCAAAGCTCGCGCATGGACTATCTAAAGCGTTTGTATAGAAAACAGATAACACCAATCATGTTCTAACGTACTTGCTAAAACTCACTTATGTACAGGCCATTCCAAAACATGTAAGCCTCACAAAACGTTCAAATACATTCTTTCAGTGTTATATGTAACAAGCTGCACGGAGTGGAACACATGTTCACGACACCCTTTGTGTACATTGGTAAATTGATGGTGTCGATTCGTTAAGCTAACCAGGCTTTCGAATATTGGCGTCAGGTAGTAATATTTAAGGTTATTTAAGGATAGATTAGCATACACTTAATATGGCATGTTAGCTTGACAGTTATTCCAGGAGCAAAGTCAATCCTATATTTAATAGTATTATATACGATATCTTCTTAATCATATTATATTTTTTACGCTTTCTGTGGCTTAAGATATGGAGAACTCTAGCAAACGTAATAGTTAAACATGTCTATCCCTCCTCCGCACGCATTAAAGACATTTTCATCTCTGTTGAGTATAACATATACTAGATAGATAGATAGTCTATATCAGATCTCCACGACTGCTGATTATGAAGGGGTCTCAAATGGATCTCTTCTTGAGTAAACATTGTGGTGAAATGATACAGGAAAATAAAGCCGAATATATACAGTATACTATTGATCTGAACTGTTATCTAGAACGATAAAGCCATACACTACATTACTATTGATCTAAAGTATCGTTTTTATAAAATAATCAAACAACGAAGGAACGAAATTACCATAGAATATGAAGAAAAAATACTGCAGACCTGCAAGTGGTCCCATATTAGTCGCCTCTTTAGTTAACGTCAGATTTATATAATATATAGCCCTGAATAATGATGTTACGTGCTACTACATTGTACTTGCATAACAGTGATAGAAAACAAACAAAAGAAATAGGTCATATAAATGTTTGAGCTTAACAAAAATACTATTGCCATGAGTGCTGCAATATTATGCGTATGTGACAAATATATGAGGAAATGTCTTGAACAGATCAAAATTTTATCAGGCTCAACTATTATAATATATAATAAATGTCATGTTAAACACGGAGATGTAAAAAAGGCTAGAGAGAAATACCTTGACGGGTTACATGTTGCAGGGACATATATATCGTCCGTAAAACAAAGATGGCATCTTAATCAATCCGAGATATTGATTTCTCCGCAGATGATTAATACAGTTTTTGCAACACTACAAAAGCGTGATAAATAAATCAGATAACAACAGGTTTTATGATAACGATATAATTAGCTCAAAATGTTCAAAAAAACCAATGGACGGGTGTTATTTCGCGAAAGGGTGAAATGGATATATCCAAACTTTTCAATATGATTTATAAAAATACAAAAAAAAGAGTCACTTTATCCTTAACAATAAAAAAGTTAAGACAGACTCGCCAACCTATCAGCTTTATAATGATGTTGGAAATTAAAAAACAAAATTATAACAAAGTTTCCATCTCAAAAACACAAATTATAGACGTCTAACGATGATATGGCAAATTCAGCTTTTGAAATAGGTATATCCGTGGAAAACACGTTCGTCATGAGCTTACGGAAGCAAGCCTTATTCTCCCGATGAGCAAAACTAAATTATTACTGATCAAAACAAGTATATATACATGTACCAAAGGCAATAATAATCATAAAATATATATTTATCATGTTTATCAGAGTAAAAAGCAATACCTGTTTATGTATGTTGGGAAGTAACTTAGTGATACAAGAAATCAAAAGTTATCTCCCTTGGATGTTTTTATTACATGCTATGACATGAGACTTGTATTGAAACAGTACAGAAAAACAAAGTAAGTATAAACCACAAATATACACACTGACAGAAGCCAATTACAAAAACATGTCCATTACTTACACAGATCACGGTCGGAGATACAACAGTATAACAATTGTCCATTATGTTTCTGCTCTTCTGAAGTGAAGCACGAAGTGTCTTGGGCATAGCATTTCTACGATAAACGAGAAGAGCTAGATACAAAAGAGTTGATATAAAACAATGATATCAGTGTGTATTGTATCGTAGCTCGCACAAAATGCCTTGTCAAGCGTTTCTTTTTGTGTGTTTGCATTGTACCAATTAATACAGCGGCTAAAGTTACCATGTTACAGGAGGCACTTTAAACCTTCAGCTTTTAAGTGTTATGAAGTATGGAAAATGACATCGCGATAAGGCTGTCATAACGTACAAGATGTTTTAATCGCGTGGACCGTCTGTTGTTCACATTACATCCATTCCTTAAAGGTTTCCACGCAGACGGTCTAATTTATGTCGATCATACTATATATCTTAACTTTATAATTCCATAACAAACAAATAATTAAATAAATATGCTCAAAAAACCTAATGGCTTTAAATGGCTAAAAATCGTTATTTAACAGTACAACGTATCCAGATTCATCTCACCAACAGATGAAAATGATGAGTTTTCATATTTTGTACCATACGTAGAACATACAGACATACACTGTACATTTCCATGCTGCCCGCTGATATCGACTGTAAGTAAAAATACCTGTACATGAGAACGGATATGACTTTTTTTTACAGTTTTGCTTTTAATTTTTATATACCACACATGGTAATTGGTACACAAAGATTTATTTTATGAAATCTTTGTGTAACATGGTACACTTGTATGTGGTACACAAAAAATATACTAATAATCAAAACTCGGTGTCCAACTGGTGTCGGCCATCTAAGAAGATAGCCATATTGCAGAAACACGTTAAACTTTGACATCTTAAGGATGATTCCTGTCCCACTATAAACAAAACACTTGAGAATTCCATTAACATCCTTTACATTTCATTTTGGAAATAACTGTTGTTCGACTTGGATAGGATAATGCCGCTGACCAGGATGTGGTACATAAAGATTTTAATAACCAGAACTCTGTGTCAAGCACTTGTCGGCCATCTTAGAAAATAGCCATACGACCAGAAACACGTTTCGTTTTTACATTTTAAGGACCCCTGTTCCACTGTAAACGAAACACTAGAGAATGTCATTGCAGTTTTTCGTACATACATTAGTTTAAATACATACGTTAAGCTCCCTAACATTTCTTTTTGGGTGTATCTGTAGTACGACTTGACCATGCTAACTCTGTTGACCAGGATGGTCAATTGGTATATGCATATGATGGCCAACGAAATGCCAGAAGTCTGAAAAGGGCTTAATGATACAACAATGCAGTATATCCCACCAACAGATATCACAAGTGACACACGAGACATCGTTTGTACAGATGTTACTAATTTCAAATTAGCTTTTTTTGTCAATTATGAATACATTGTTTTCAATTTTATATTCAATATCGTATCTTTTGTTTTATGCATTCCTAATTTATAAAATAGAAGATACGTTTGAAATCCTGAGGAGGGGCACGATATTACAAATACATACTGTGTTGTCGTTTACGACGATGTTGTTCATATCAAACCAGTGTAACAGCTAAGAGCCTTGGCAGTTGTGTTATTAGAAATAACTCAAAAGCTCTGTCGTATTATTTGATGTTTTTTAAGTGGTCCCTTTCTGGTGAAAAACGCACCTGTATTTTTTGAAAATCCACCTCATTTTTGTTCTTTTTCAAAATCATGTCTGTTCTGTGCAAAGTGCTGTATACCCGAGATTCCTCTGGATGGTTTCCGATATTTATTCGTTTACGTAAGGTATTACTTTATTACCATTCGTCTTCTCCTGGAGAAAAGCTGATTCTTTAAGAAGTCAGTAAGTACTACATTGATGTATTACAAAAATGCGTTATTAGTAATATGTGTATACACATTCTGTATGACCGAATGCGCGATTCTTTTGAGGTAAACTTTCATAAATAACATGACATACAACAGGAAACCTCGTTAATACACGGAACACGATACACTGACGAACACCCGTGAAATTACACAGGAACTCAACATGAAGTACCTTTTCAGTTTAATATACATACTTCCCTGTATTTGAAGTGAAATTGCATTAGTCATATCCTTTCTGCGTATCCCAGAAGAGTATGACACGAAATATATCTATTTTATATTGTGTGATGGAACGGATTGAAGGACAGACAACTCGGGTATATATTTGTTTGATGTGTGTTATGGCTCTATCACAAACGACTTTGGACATGTGTTTATTGATCTTGGTGTGAAGTGCTGTTTTGTTACAAACTGTGGACATGTATCTCCACCATATCATCGTGTGGGTAGCATACTACAGCGTTCTCGTCAGTAAGTGAGACATATTAACTTGTTTTGGGACCTTGAGTATACGATAAAACACTTAACGGTATTTTCTGTATCACAACCTTCTGAAAACACATAACGAGAGGCCAATAGTCACGTCGCTCTCTAGCATATGATATTTCCTGCTTTAGAAGTTGTATTATATAAATGTTGTGTCATTAAATTCAAGGTACATTTTAGAAACAAAAATATGGAATGTTACACAAAAAATTAATAAAAGATAACAAAAGGTTATATATCAATTTGGTTTTTATCATATGTCAATTTGACGGAATTTTTCACACCCTATGACAATGTAAAATAATATCCGATGTTAATATATTGGGTATTAGTTTCCGCATACCCAATGCCAACATTGATATACATAACATACATAATATATTAAAAATTAGCACAGAACAAGACATCATTTAACATAAACAAATGTCAAAGGTCAACCGGAAATATGACGGTAGGTTTTCATTACTTTGTATTAATTAATCTATTTATTTAAGTATTTCATTACTTTGTATTTCTTGATTTATGTCTTTATTTAATTTGTATTTATTGATTTATGTATTGAAGTATTTCATTACTATGTATTTAATATAATTGCAAAACATCGAGTGGTTTAAATATAAATAACATTGACTAGCTTTATTTTTGTTATATAAATCTATAACTTTCGCATCTGAATTTACCATAAGATGATTGACACTACCGTAGAGAAGGAAGGCTTCATTTATAGCGTCAAACAGCCTCAGAATAGTGTCGGTTACAGAAAGATGCTGAGTCCCTTTCTAGAGCCCCCGATCACCATGTACTAAGATAGCCATCCCGGTCTAAATAAAGTACTGTAGCAGTGGGTCAGAAAACAAATATTGAAACAAATTCAGCCAAAAAACATAAATCTTGAATAAGTGTTCATGTATATCATTATCTTTCATATCTAAGTCGCTTTCGTGATTTCCTGCTTAGAGTTCACTTAACCACGCTCAAGTTTTTATTACAGCAATAAGGTACATGTACATGTACAAGACTGCTGAAAATAACAAAACTGTTGCAACTGTTTGGCGAAGCGGTCAGACAGGATATATTTTGTCTAAGGACAGTGATTTTAGAAACATAATTCAAATATTGCCAGCTATAAGTAAAGGTATCCATAATAATAAATTTCAATTCGGCCTGGAATGAAAAGGCAAGGTGAATTCTAATTAAATATGTATTGTGTTTATTGTGCCTCTACTGTTATCCCACACGAATGTGGTATATTTTGTCTTGTCGCTTTGCGTTGTTGCTATGAACATTTTTGTCTTTGTGTTGACACTAAAGCATATTGTGTCCCTGTTTGATGACGTTGTGGTATATTTTGTCTTGTCGCTTTGCGTTGTTGCTATGGAATATTTTCTCTTTGTGTTGACACTATCGTATATGTTTTACAGTGCCACCTCACTTGAATGCAACGGCACATATCTGCGACATCTAACCCAGACTATCTTATATTCAACCTGGGTTGGTAGCGTTGTGTAGGCAGGAGCAAAACAGAAATAGAAAAATGAGAATAAGTCGTTGCAGATGTGAGAACGTCTTTTATTTCATGTATATACATTTTAATTTCAAACTGTTGTGGTTTTGTTTGCCCTTAGAATGTGATGTTATTACTGTGAAATATGAGAAGACATGGGATGCCGCTGTTCACTACTGCAAGACGAAACATAACGGCACTCTCTCCTCTGTAAAAGAAATCGGAAATTCTAGTTATACTGGTTGGGAAAATGTCTGGACGCTGTCACAAACACTAACAAAGTGGCTCTCATTTATTGGTAAATATGGAAAATAATACCTCGATGGATTAATATGATATCTCCAATATGTTTGAGAACGAAAAACCTTAACATTGGTTAAATGTATATTTACAGCTGAAGGATAATCTTATTATGATCAAATTCAGATAATTGAAACGATAACGAAAACATTTTTTATTTATTGTTTCTAATTATTATTAAATTACTTTATTTTGAAGATAAATAAGCCAAACTTTAGTGTTCATAGGTTGCTTATTTTATATACTCAAAACGTAGAGATGATGTCACATGTGTCCAATAAGCTGTATGAACTGTCCAATAAGCTTCATGAACTGTCCAAGTTTGACCAGTTGCCAATAGGTTACCTACCCGGGACCCGTTAAGATCGATGTCCCGTTTTCTCGACAACTTGTGGCTCCTCTACCCCAGCGTTATAGGATCAAGTTACTACACTTACTCGTTATGAATGATTTGTGAAGAACCCCGAAAATCCCACAGACTTACACAACCTGGCAGCAGTTTGTTGTAACTGGTGGACCCCTATATCCTATAGGAGAGTCAGCATACCATATATCATCTGTAGGGAACTTCCAAGGCTGAAGATAGAGTGCATCGAATTTTCCATTGCCATTTCCAAAAATTCAAAAAAAATAAGGGCCTGGATCGGTTTTCACACTTATTGGAACGTTTTCTGTTAATATCCATAACATGCTAACCACGTTGTATCTGTCTTATATATTGATCACTTTGAAGATTATTTATATATATAACACAGTGTAATTAATTTATACACTTAACACTTTGTGCAATGTAGTTCACTCATATACTTAGTGTTTGTGAGGTCTGTCACTCGAAACATGTCTAGTGTGATGAGGATGTTACGTACTCTACTGCTGACATTCACACTTAAAAAAAACCTTCATAGTTCATTAATGGGTTAAATAAATTGTAACTCACTTACATTAAAACCGTGTGTAGGTCTCTTTTATAAAATATACTTTGCAGTTAATTAATTTACTTAACCTGTTGAATGTTAATATTACTTTTCTGTAAATCAACTTTTCGTTACTTTTCTATAGGAGATTTTTTATCAACATCTTGAAGTAAAGCATAGCTTGCTGTTCTAATTGAAATAAGGATAACTTTGTTACATCTACAACGTTAAAATATATTTTTTAATAAATAAATAAATAATATTTATGTCGTTGTTTGTTTACAGGATGTTTTTATCTTGCCAACAAAGACACAAAAATGACCTTTTACCCGGACTACGATGTTACAAAGCGGTGCAGTGAAGGATGTGATACGTCACGATTCATTGGCATAAGTGTATGTATACTGTATAGCGTATATAGAAACTACATTCACTTTAATCCGGATCTCATAATAAAACAAACTATCATAGTATGTCTTTTCAGTCGGCCCGTCCGTCCGTAAATCCGTACCACATCGTGATTAGACCACGCTTATGATTTTGCTCTACTGTAGTATTAAAAGTCCATCTGTCAATACAGTTTGTATGTTAATGCTTTATATGCTTTTGGGGTGTTTAACGTCCTCGCAACAGCCAGGATGATTTAAGGACGATTGCCTAGGGAGACACCGCTAGGAAGAGAACAGAGATATAAAAGAAAGGAAACGAAAAACATCAGAAGTGTTGCGAGGGGGGGGGGGAGCAGATTAATTCTGTTTTTGTAATATCATTGTTTGACCGATGATTCATGCAAGGAATACATTTATTGAAATATTGTAATTATCATTGTCACCAATAAGAATTAAAAATATAATGCCTCTATCAAAAACAGGAAGACTTGGCAAGTATGTAATTAATGATTTTGGTGTTGAAAGGCAAAAAGACGGTGTGTCTGTTTATCTGAACAAGAACAAGAAATGATTCCAAATAAGATGGAATGGGAAGACTGCCATCCACCTAAGAACGAATCACATTACATTGTTTACCGGAAATATGACGGTAGGTTTTCATTACTTTGTATATATTGATTTATGTATTTAAGTATTTCATTACTTTGTATTTTCTTGATTTATGTATTAATTTACTTTGTACTTATTGATTTGTATTTGAGTATTTCATTACTATGTATTTATAGATTTATGTATTTATTTACTTTGTATTTATTGATTTATGTATTTAAGTATTTCATTAATTTGTTATTATTGATTTATGTATACAAGTATTTCATTACATTGTATAAATTGATTTATGTATTTTCTTTTATTTGTAAACGATTTTTTTTTTAATTCTACGTTATTGATAATACATCTCATTTCCAAAAACATCCCATGACTTTCATTTGTTTTCTATTTAAATATAGATAAATAATAGATATATAAAATAATGCATTCATAAACGATAGTAATATCAATCTGAGTCATTACTTGCTCAAAGAAAGTATCATAAGGGAGGTAACTCCAACATCAAAACAAATTTAGAATTTATTAACGGTAGCATATGAACTAAAAAGTAATTTAATATGACAAAAGACTTCAGCTTAGCAAAACATGGACAGGTTGTTTCATTTGTATTTGCTGAGTGTTGCTTACTTAATCGACAACGAGAATGAAGCAAATGCTGGACTTCAAGGAATCCTGTTGTGTTGTTGGACCAAATCTCGAAACAAAATGTAATTGAATTTTGAATAAATAATGACCATGAATAACGTTATTAAAATTAACTGTAAAGTCTGTTTAACCAAATCCATTCAATTTACCGTAATGTTGTTTGCTTTTATAGCAAATGTTAGCGCTGTAGTGTTGAAGAATGATTTATCCGATTCTACCCTGAACTGTGGCGCTGTTAGCTGCAAACGAAACAATCAAGCCAAATATTTTTATCCCGAAGATTGCACGAAAAAACTCAGGTTCATATGTGGTAAGTATCCGAAAAACTTCATGTATTCTGTACCCTCCAAATATGTGTTGTTATATGAGTTTTCATTTTTTGCAGAATGAAAACCGACAAAATGTATAAACACAATACATTTAAGACAGAATTGAAAGAAAACATGTTAAACACTATTATTTTAGTCTTATAGAATCTGTTTGTTAGAACGTGGTCTTTTCAAAACAAACAAAACAAATACATTTGTATTACTTGAAATTAGATAAACTTCAAACAGATCGAACGGGAATATGCATCTAGGTTACATCACCATAAAAGCTGAAACAGCATCGTTCTATATACTGCTGTTTGTTAGCCATTAATTATTTAAAGGAGGTGTGTTGAAGATGGGTCTGAAACCGATTCCTTTACACATATTTATCCTCTACGGATTTATCACGGTCTGATCTTTAATGTTTCTCTTTCTCCATTTCTTTGGTACATTTTGATAAATGAGGTAAATGTGTTGCATCGATTCCTTTCATAGCAACATGATCCTATTATAGATGCTACACTATGGCTATGTTGATCAGGAGGCACGGTGGTCTAGTGGTAGGATGCCGGGCTCGTGACCGAAGGGTTGCCGGTTCGAGTCACGTCAAGGCACTGTGTTGTATCATTGAACAAGATATTTTACTCCGCTTGTTCCAGTCTACTCAGCTGTAAATGAGTGCGTGGTTGTGCAGTGCTAGAATTATACAATGCTAGCTGTGAGCGCTGAAATGGCTAACCGGCTGTATGCTACCCAAGGAATTGAAAAAGATATTCACCGGTTGCAAAGGCCCTATAACCACGGATAATAATTTGTGAACCACTTTGAGACGACCTACATACAAAATGTACTAGGTTGTGATAAAGCGGTATATTAGACCCTAGACTTATTATTATTGCTACTATCATATCATACATGTGTAAATAGGAAAGTATAACTGGAAACAAACCATTCGTTATACATACGATTGAGAATTTCATTTTTGTAAATATTTACCTAATCTACTGCTTGTATATATAAAAGAAGAAAAACATTTCAGCTGTGTTTTAAACTTCAACGAGATAAAGCCAAAACAATACGCAAGAGCATTTGTTATGTTCAAATTTACCCTCCACAAATGTTATATCAGATATAGATAATAGTACATGACATGTTTAACGTTTTATTAAAATGAGACCACACTTTAACTCCGGGACCGTTTGCTACGGGTTTGAAATTGGTCGAGGTTAAGTGAAGACTGAATATACGTTTCATTCGTTGCATACTTGTATTTATAAAGAATGCATCCTCTTGAAACATGCATATCTATTTTACAGCTCAGCGAAGTTCAAGACACAATCTTAACTGGACAAATGGGATACAACATTGCCTAAAAAACAACCGGTCACCTCAGTCGTTCGGGAATCACTGTCAGAAAGCTGATAGAACGTTAAGAAGCATTGCAAAATATTGGATTGGAATGTATCGTCCTTTAGATCATGGTATGATGATATAAAAATTCGAGTTTAACAATTTCTTGTGGCAAGGTATCGTTTAACTTTGATGAACATGAAGGCTGTTTCGGGCTTGTTTGATAACCCTTCTTAGTAATACTATTTGAAAACTCCTAGCTTATAAAGTTTACATGTCTCAGTTGATATGTTGTTCCAGAGCCTGTTCTTAGTATAATGATGTTCTTGGTAAATAAATGCTCATTAATTGTGTATATAGGGGTTACTACCTGAATAGATTCAATTAACTCCGTAAAACCTTTGCGATAATCATCACCAGTTATGGATTCTATTGTGTTCAGGATTTTATTCTGATTTAATAAGACCTGTTCGTCGATACACTGTCTAAATATTGTAGAGAATCCCAGATCTCTAATCATCATCATTATCTCATATCTAACTGTAGGTTTTTGGTTCAGTTTTTACCATAACATTGTCTTAGAGCATTTGCGATTATTGTCATTTTTCTGTACTGGACAGGAAATATTTCGATAGGTGCCACATGTGGTCCGGGAAACAAACACCTTTACGAACGCCTGATTATATTTTTGTCAGACAAGTTTCTAAAATATCATTTAGAATTAATAAATAATTCATAACAAGTAAAAATGTTTTGCGACGTATTACGAACGAGCTTTACCATACTTAAGTAGAGCCACATGCACAGTGACTACATGTATATATCCTCTTGTCCATTGGGACATCATACGTAATACATTTCGTGTACATTTCATAATTTCATAGTAGGTTAAGTGCAACGATAGCATAAGTTCATTAGCAAAATATATTACATGAGTGATTTATTACTTATTTACATTGAAACCATCTGAACGCAAATATATGTTATGCATTCATGAATCATATTAAAAGGTGTTAGAAATTCACGAGCATATCCTAATGTAGATAGTGTCGTTATTTATAGTTTATTCCAGGGAAAACGCAGAAAGGAAGTACCTATTTAAAAATTGTATTTGTAAATTGAGAAAGTAAGCAATTTACTACATCGTGTGTCCTTTTCGTTCCGTTTAACAGTTCTAAATGGTAATTGAAACTTTTAATTTGTTCAGATTTCACTGATGTTCAGAAGGAAATATATCCAGAATTTAGAATTGAAATACATAAGATACGCTATAGGCATATTGGTTGCACGTCGAGAATCATCCTCTATACTCCAGGAGTAACGCTCACTTTCGACATATTCCAGGTGTGCAGAGAGCGAAAGTGAGCGTAACCCCTGAAGTATCGAGGATGGTCGAGAGACAGATTAAGTGTTATGTTGCGCTGTTGAGTGTGTGTGTTTCTGTTACGATACATAAAATGTTCGGGCAATTGTTTTTAAATATTTTGACACATTTATAAAAATTGTTTCTTTTTTCAACTTTTTTGTTTCAGACAACAAACCCTATAAAGAATGCACGTATTGGTCTAATGACGCAGAGTCAGCGAACTGTTCACGTGGGCTTCCTTTCTTTTGTACAGGTAAGACATTCAGCAGTAGTACATGGGAAACAATTGTGGCGTTATTAATTATGCTATAGCGATGTCCGCCAAACTTACCCAACTTAACGATGTCATATAGTAATATCCCTTTATATCGTATACCGGGCAATTTTCGCCCAGTTAAAATTTCGCCCAGTTAAATTTCCGCTGATCAGCGGTGAAATATAACTTCAACGAATTATCCGGTATAGCGTAGTACTAAAAGAAAAAACCCTCTACATACTATTCAATGCCACTTTCAGCACTGTAAAAATGTTAATTCGTCTACTATAGCACATATGTTAATGTATTTATTAGTAAACTTTTGTGGAATCGAACTCGGGAACATCGTCTTTCTGTCTAAGTACACTTTAAATGTGACAAGTTTGGACATGTGGTTCAAGTAAAGTTAAATAAAACAGCAACATTGGGCCATAGGGCAGAGCTTTCCAGCAGACAATCGGAAACATCTAGAGTCGAGAAACAACATTAAATTTGAATACGACTTTTTGCAAATATATCCTGATGCTTATCATTGTGTATATGTGGTGATGCTGATTATGATGACTGGGAAACCCTTGTCTTTGCCTGCATTTGAGAGTATGTGTGTACAGTATGTCTGGTTGATGTACAAATGTAATGTATCAAAACATTTTTAAAATAAAACATTCAAAATAAAAAAATTAAATAAAAAATAGCATGGTTAAAAACAAGTATTTTCGTCTATAAATGAGCAGAAATGGCACATGTTTCGCGAATGAATTCATGCCGAAAGTGAAGTATTTCTTTTTAGGACATCCACCTACTCCACCTACACAAAGTCCTATGCATCCTACATCAACAAACATGTCTGGCGACAGGAAAGATAGGGATGGACACAGGAATAGACCTGATATCAAAGGTGAAATTCACATTGATTAATAGAATATCTCACCCTCAAGGGGGGAATGATGATTTTTCTCTTACCCTGTTCACCCATTGTGTATCATATACATAATGTAATGTAGCGTTACAGGCTAAATTCCGGGTTGACGTGACGGGGGATTGTTGACGTGACGTCATTGTATTGTTGATGTGACGTCACTGCATTGTAGATGTGACGCCATACCATTGTTATGAATAGGAGAATCCCCCCTAGGTTGAGATTAATAGAATCTTTCACCCCCTTGGGAGTGAGACAGAGGGATCTCAACCCGAGGGGTGGGATTCTTAAGTTGCCAAACACGAGGCTTGCCGAGTGTTTGACAGCTTAAGATCTTACCCCGAGGGTTGAGATCCCCTGTCTCACTCCCAGGGGGGTAAATTATTATTTTTCTCTTACTCTGTTTACCCTCTTATCTATCTAATATTGCCGTTACATCAATGCAAGACAATGCTGATATGATGCGATTGAATTGTCGACATGACGTCATTGTATTGTTGCCGTGACGTCATGGTATTGTTGCTATGACGTCATACAATTGTTGAGAACGTGCAAAGAGCACGTGTAGCTTGTCTCAAACCTAGGGAGAGATTAATAGAATCATTCACCCCCTTTGGGGTGAGATAGGGGAATCTCAACCCGAGGGCGAAGATTCTTATGTTGCCAAACCCGAGGCTTTGCCGAGTGTTTGGCAACTTAAGAATCTTTCCCCGAGGGTTGATATTCCCCTATCTTACCCACAAGGAGGTGAATGATTCTTTTTCTCTTACCCTGTTTTCCCCAATGTGTATCATATACACAATGTAATGATAACGTTACATGCTAAATTCAGGGTTGATGTGACGTTGATGGATTGTTGACGTGACGTCATTGTATTGTTGCAGTGACGTGAAACCATTGTTATAAATAGGGGAATCCCCCCGTCTCAACCCTAGGGCGGAGACAGATACATCTAGCACCGACAAAACGGGAGATAAATCTGTCAGGTGTGGGAGAAAAGAAAATCTCACACCGGTAAAATGGTGGATATCCCTGTCCAGGGTAAGATAAAATAAGACTCTTTCATGCCAAGGGGTGCAGGATAGGAAAATTCGACCCGACAGTTTTTCAAAATTGGTAAAACACGAGGCTCTGCCGAGGGTTTTGCCAATTTAGAAATTTCCGTGGGTGATATTTCCCTATCCTACACACTTGGGCATGAAAGAGTATTTGTACCGGTGTGAGATATCCTTTTCTCTCGTTCCAATTACCAGAATAAGCTCAGAAACCATGAAAATGCGTTTAGACTGGTTACCATTTTTAAAATATCCTTTTTTCCCCTGGGCTTTCTAGACGAAAACGAATCTGTCAGCCAGATTTATCATACCCCATATTTGCAAACTAGGTTTGCAGAGAAAACATAATCTCATCTTTCTAACGTGTACGGTAACTATATCGTAAAAGGTTTAAGTTTCATCACATCGCCTTTTCCGCATTGCGTCATCGGAGGTTTCAAAATTCGTAACGTCATGTCAATGTTGAGCTTTTGTGATGTCACGTGGAATTGGGTGTAAGATAGACATTTCCTACATCCCTTTCTTACCCCGGACAGCTGTATCTTACACACCGGGAAATGAGAGAAAAGGGTAGATCGCACCGGTAAAATTGTGTATACATGTACACCTGTCCAGAGTAAGGGAAATTGAAATCCCTCGTTTATGACATAGTTAGCGCTTAGGGGAACACACCAATGAATCTGTCTCGTATAGATAAATGGAGAAAGGATGCTGGTGGCATATAAACGTCTTTTAGAAGGAACATTTACAGATTCCTATTTTATTGATTTGAGAATTCACTAGATACTTTATTCCGACGATATTCGTTATGTTTTTATATAATAATCACATTTTCGGGCTATTACTATTATATATTTGTTATATATAGAAGAAGTCTCACGCAGAACACGTTATCATTACATTCACAGTAAGGTTAGTTATTTCAATATTTTTAGGCAGAAGGATTTGCCCAGTTCTTGAAAATAATTAAGTTCCTATCATAATTGCAATAATCCCAAATATCATGTTAATGTGGTTGATTATATTTGCTAAATTTGTGTGCCAAACGCAATATGTTTTAACCAAAGGATTGCTACATTAAAGATAACAACAGCACCGACATAATGACGCGATAATAATAATATCTGAACTATTGATACCAACATGTAATATAAGTATCTAGTACACTTTGTAAATTGGAGAAACATATTTATTTAAGAAAAAAAAATCAAGGCTTTTACTTCGTCAGAGTTCCCCCGGAGACTCGTTAGGGTCCAGAAACTACAGTTGCGACACACTCCTTCGGTCGTTTAGATCACATATGAAAAATGATAAAATAGGAATAATCAACTGTTTTAGCTGATTAGTCGGAAACAATCAATACAATTTAATATCACAATTAACGTTCAAGATATTTCCAAAGCTTCACAGAAAGGAGTCATTCAAAATGAATGGCGGCAATGTCGGTTTTACAGCCGAAGCAGTGAAATGAACTTGACATCACGACAATGTTTGTTCTAGTCGCAATCTGATTAAAATCATCTGTTACATGGCTCCGCCTGAACATCAGAATGTGCCGCGGTCAGGGTCACGTTCAAGTGACCTTTAGATGAACCAAGCAGAGGCGCGCTGGCAAAAGTTTGCCAGCGAATCAGAATATCATGGTTGATAGATAAATAGCGGGGGGTATCGAACAGATTAGTTTTCCAAAACAAATATGGCGGCGGGAACTGACTTTCTACGACGCCAAGGAAAACGTACCCATTGGGTAATAATTGCGTTGGCAACACCACCATACAGTTTTTGTTCTCTAATAAAGTTTCTATTTTTTTTCTGTTCGGGTTTCAGACGATCAATCTCAAATAACTTTAGAACTTTCGCATCATTCTCATCAATGTCCGACATATTTGTTACAACTCCGAGCGCCCTTTTGAAAGAGGGTCTCTGATTGGTAAAAAATTAATGACTATTTATAAATATAAAGGTCACCTGAACGTGACCCTGACCGCGGCACACTCAGATGTTCAGGCGTAGTACGAAGTTAACGAAGCCATGTAACATATGATTTTAATCAGATTGTTTTAGACGCAGACTTATGCAACAAATTTACCAGGCATGTTTGATGTGGAAATCAATCAAACATTATCACAATAACGATTGCAAATCTTATACAACGCTTATAATGACGACAACGTAACATCTTCATATAACATCGTAATTTAAGCAGAGTATCAGCGAATGACAGAGTTTATAGCGTATATGTGTAGGTTCGGAACGCCTGTGACTGCATGCGTTTAGTGTTGATTTACATTATAACATCGTAATTTAGTTATATGGGAAATCTTTTCTTTGCGTTTTTTCCTCCGATTGCTTACAATAGCATTGTTATGTTACTGAAACGTTTTAGGTTTGGAACTTTAATATCATATTTCCTTTTAAAATTTTATCACATTTTTGTTTTTATTTTGCAGTTCTCATTGGCGTGGTCTCGGCGCTCGCCGTTTTGCTTCTTTCAGTCATTGTTGTTGGCATCATCCTTTGGAGAAGGTATGCTTTACTGATGACAGAAAGATGAAATTGAATATAAACAGATTAAAAAATGTATCAATTTTAAAGATATTTATCATACACTATGCAAGTAAAAAAGATACAAAATAAATTCCGGCTTGTGTCTCTCTTGTTGTAGAGAATTTTGAATCAAATAAATTTAAGATGGTATACGGAAGCAAAACAATTGAAATTGAAAAAAATATATCCAATCTCGGAGGAATTCTGAAGTCATATATATATGTCCAATGTATGACAACTGTAAACCATATTTCTAATAATGTTAGTCAAATATCGATGATGGTATATTATATATTTTTTAAATTGAAATAAAATTTTGTCTTTAATTAGACCCCAATTTTGTATTTTTAGAATAAAACAGAATGCAAAACACATCACTTTACAAAAGCAACACTCCGCACAAGAACAGAACACACAGGTCCAGATGAAGATGAATTTATATTCACAAGAACGGAAAAATGATGAGGAAAATTTGTACGAATTTGAAGAAATCGATGGTGAAAATGAAAAAGACAATCAATCAATGCCATGTCGTAATTTTACCGTTAAATGTCCTCTTCCTCCCGAGGTGATGCGCTCTGCTAGCCAGGCATCTGGTAACGGTGTCTCAAGTCCATGCAATTTACCTGTGTTTGGTAGGCCAAAAAGTCTAGGCAACAGGTGCTCAGGGGCTGAAACAGCACGCCCATGCCATCATGTCAGTAATTCGCCTGGGAAGGTAGACGATCATTATGATTTTCTCAACAGTCCAAGGCCAAGAAATGAAGTCGTTTCGGACACGTACGACCACGCCAGAATTGTCAACGCGATAAGAGGAGTTCCACAAGTGATTATGTCGGATCCCGATAGTTTACCTTCCGACGTTGATGTTCAACAGCCCAGCAAAATGGACGACAAAGATGGCGTTTATGATTTCGCGAAAGGCGTCGAAAATGAGTACGATGAATTCGAAACACCGACTAAACATGTCGTTACAACAGACACATATGATCACGTGTCCTTAAATATACCTTCATAATTGCGCTATTAATCTGGACAGTGAACGTATATTCATAAGTAAGGCAATTTCAGCGAAGAAATGTGATCCAGCAGTCAGAACAATTTAATCTTCGTGACAAAACTATTGCAATGAATTGTCGAGAAGATTGGTAGCATTTCGTGATTAAGAGGATATCCGCACCTGCCCCTCTGTTTTAACAGTAGTTTAAACAGTTAAGACAATTGGATGTCCAACGCTTTGGTACCTAACATCACCGAAGGGTCATCGGCGATCGAAACAGCTGTAAGATGTAGCGTAATTCGTGTATGGCTAACTGTATTTATTATCAAATTGTCAAGGTATGATAATGTGTTTGTGTGTGTTTGTGTAAGTGTGTGTGTGTTCATCTTTGAAATTCTCTATTACCAATTAAAGCAAAGGCATGGAGCAAGACTTACCAAAATCAATGATTGGGCAAACGTCAAGCCCCTTTCCCATACACATAGACATCCTTGATATAAGTTACATGAATGCATCATTATGATATCACTTGAATCCGTTTCGGTGTAAATTTGACTAATCCGGAAATGTCACGATCTCGCGCTGTACAGCAGGACATTTTTAAGAAGATTTAATATTATTTATATATTACTGGGAATTCCATTATGGGGATCCTTATTTAAATAATCCTTATTTAGAATTGCTTATGTTATTAGGAGTAAAAAATGTGTAATAATTGTAACGTTTCGCAACAAGCAAAATATATATTTTACGAGGTGTATTGCATCTGTATTTGAAAGATTTACCTCCCTTGTGTTGCTTTGCGATGTACGTAGATCTAAAACTATATTGTAAGTTCTAGCACCTTCTTTTCTTATGCAGTTTTTTATTTCTATAAAATAAAACATAACTGACACGGAATCCATGCGGTAAATCCGTTTCCGGTCGTACGGAGTGAATATACAGGTAATATTAGAAACGATTCCTGTTTCCAAATATAGAATGATACACAACTCTAATGTACTTTTGTTAAAGGGGCTGGTCGGGAAAAAAAACACCAAAATAAATGGGTCTAAATGCGTTCTCTGGCCTTCCAAAAGTTATACCACGGCAATATGATGGTCGAGTTCTGCTTGCAATGTCCAGTTTTGACCACTGAAATACCGGGGAAGCCCCGCGTAAATTTAGCGCAGATCAATTTATATATGTCACGTGGTTGTTTCGAAAGTGAAGCAGTGAAGATAACAACAATAGCACGCCGGCATGTGCCATGTCGGACTCAACTAGCGGACAAGACCACAATACTATACGTAAATACTCGTTTTCAAAGGTCATGTATGATGCAAGTGTAGTATTCCTACCTATATGTTGTTGTTATATATAACGGTATTGATACCTCGTGCCTGTCATGACTTTTGCATGCATATTTTTTCTTTCGCCGCGATGTTTACATTTGGCCTTGTTGATGATGTGCGTGCAGTAAAATAACATCACTGATCTGGGTCAATTGAGAGTTTTAGACTGTCAGGTGACGATTTAGAATTTCTTTAATATAATTATAATTTTTACTCTTAGGGAGTGAATTTCAGCAAAATTTGAATCGGTATATTTCATAAGAAGGTATTTTAAACATGTATATGCCATTTTAGCAAATATGACATTTTTTCCCCGACCAGCCCCTTTAATTAAAGTAAATGTGCAGTTATTTTTTAAAAAGTTAAAAGTACCTACTATTGTTGGTTCATATTTAATTTCGAGTAGAAAACATATTACAATAATTACCTGTATATTCACTCCGTACTACCGGAAACGGATTTATCGCATGGATTCCTTGTCAGTGGGCGCTGAAGGGAGAATTCTAAAAAAACCGGCTATGTAACAGGTTAGCAAGCATGTTGTTCCACAAAACGATCTGTAGTGTACATCAGTAGTCATCATAGACTGCATAGGAGTTTAGGTTTCTGTGGAATTTTCAGTTTTGTGCGAGAAAACTTAGTTGAAAACGAAGAGGGGTAGATCTGCCGTTGCATTCCTGTCTATATTTTAAGCATATTATAGGTATTTTTTTTGTATTACTGTTATTATTCATTATTGACAGAACTTCAGGCTCCTGTGGTATAATCGGCTAGCGCTTTCGACCATCTTGGGGCTCTTTAGGCGATTTAAATTTATTTGTGACGTCATAAATGTACACATACTTTTAAAAGACGTCAGAAATAATGACGTCATAAACAAAGTACACATAATGCGGACGTCTAGATATTGCGACGTCTCAAAAGATTAATTGAATGTATTTGCATTAAATGCGTCAATGAAATATATGGAAAAAGAAAAGGAGTATATTACAAATACTCAACTGAATACATTGTTCAATAGTAAAAGTTAAAAACATATGATAGTAAAAATGAATTTCAAAGTTCAATACTTAGTTCATCCGAACATTTAAAATTTATAAGAGGTGCTCGAAATTTCCCGCGTTCAAGCCCGGTTTTTGGAATTTTAATAAACATGTACATGTATATAAACATGTAGATGTGAAACACATTTGCTGTCGTTTGCATGTTTTAGTTGGAAGTGCAACAATTTGTTATTGTAATTTGTCAGTGAATGATTGCAAATATAATTAACAATGTGACATGTTTGATGATTGTAGAATTAAAACATCTTAGTTTCACACTTTGTCAACGTGAGAAGGTCAACGCTACCATTGTATAACTGGATGAACATACATGTTTTCGTCCAAATTTAGTTCGTATTCTTACTTCGAAATAACAACAAAATAGGAAAAAAAACATAATTTCTTTTGTCAACAGATAACACTAAAATATCAAAATTATACATTGTATTCATCAGACCTATTTTAGAATATGCGAGTGAAGTGTGGGATGGTTGTAACAATGCAGATTCTGATAAAATAGAAAAAGTCCAACTGGAAGCAGCCAGAATAGTTACAGGTTTGCCTTTATTTGCTAGTAGACAGTCTTTGTATAGTGCATCGTACTGGGAAAAACTTAAAGACAGACGGAAACAAAAAAACAAGTTATCATTATACAAAATGCACCATAATTTAGTTCCTTCTTACCTAAACGACATCGTACCCAATAAAGTAAATGACATTAGTGGATATAATTAAAGAAATGGTCAAGATTATGTATTACCCAAGTGTCGACTATTTTTGTATGAACAATCGTTTATCCCCAGTACCCTGAGATTGTGGAATTCATTAGATATTTCAACTAGAACTCTAGAAACAGTGTCAAAATTTAAACATAGCATTTTTAGAGAAAAAAAACCTGTAACTAGTTGTCTGTAGGTAACAGAACATTTGATATAATACATACTAGACTCTGTCACGGCTGTAGCGCGTTGAATGCAGATCTTTTCAGGTGTAATTGAGTCTTATATCCAGCATGTTACTGTTATTTCTCAATAGAAAACCACTTTCATTATTTTTTTCAGTGTAATATATACAACCAGTGTCGGGATATACTTTTCAGACAAATGTCTAGATATGATATAGTCATTGATCTAGATGTACAGTTGAACGGTTCTATTAATCTGAATCAGACTGATAATTAAAATATACGGTTGTTTGTACAAGAATATATCAAACATACGAATCGTTTTGCATAATCTGCTTCAGTATCAAATAATAAAGACAAATCATCATTATTAGTCAAATGAAATGTAAACAATTGCGGTTTACATGCAGAAACTGGTTCCACCATTCAGTTGTATCTATTCACTATGCTTTATTATACATGTACATACTTAAATTGTTAGGTATGACATTCATACTATATCTATGCCATTTTAAGTGAAATTCCTTGAACTAGTATACATTAATGTTAAGTTTTATGAATATGTATATATAATATTTATATCAACTGTTCATGAAATGCTGCCATATATGTATGTTACCATTGTATAATAGTTTATGGAAGAGGACGTTTCTAAGTTGTTTAACTTGTGTCCAATTCCATTTGGGTTTTTTTCAAATAAAATGTGTTTAAACTTACTAAATAATGACACTCGGTCCTTGTACAATTCACCCAGAGTGTAAAATCACTCAATTGTGTAGTGTAGCATGCCTCACGAAGGAATAGCAAAAAATAATAGCAAAACTTCAAGCGAAGAACAATGTTGAAAAATTTGGCAATACATCTCTCATCATACCACTTTGTATTCTTGAAAAAATGCAAATTGATTTCCAAAATCTCAGGTCATTTTCTTTTAATCACGGTACGACTGACTGTAACGCTATTCCATTCTTGTGATGTATTCTTTATTTGCTAGTTAATCTGTTATGTGGACGATAGGGGATACTGAGTTGAATGAGCAACCATTCTAATTTTACCATAGATCATTAATACAACCAGTGGTATGGTAACTGTATAGTAGTGTTATAGGAAGAACATAAGTCGTTTACCTATGTGTAGTCAATTATCACAATCAAACCGACAATGGTTGAAGGTAGAATGTGAAAGTTTGGGGATAGGTTGTTTGTTATAAACAAGGGGGTTATTTCTATATGTTTCGGTGTCTCTTATAAAAACGAATCACTTAATGCAATTATCTCCAGCATTCAAAAGGAGACGGGAGCACACAGTGATAAGTTGTCTCCCAGGAGAGTTCATTTTTCAAAAATGCAAAAACTGTTGGAAATTATTTATGTTGACATAGATAAACTAATACTCTAATCAAAGATGTGTGTAAAACCCCATAGCTTCTCTTAAAAACCTGTAAGATAAGTTTATCCGTCAGCAGTCGACATCTTCCACGGAAATCGCGATATCTAAAGCAAGTCCCCTGAATACGAATCGACTTCGATATATAAACAATGTAGGCTTGTGGAGCAGGCATGTTAATATCAAGGAGGAAGTGTGTCGGTCAAAATCGAAATAATCACTACTATCATACAATTATCTCCCCATCATGTAGTACATAAATCAAGCTATTAGTACATGAACTATACTATTGGGACATTGATTATGCCATGGGTACATGAATCATGATATGTGTGGACAAAATATGTATCAGGCCAAAAAAAGAAAAATAGGTGTTTCCTATAAGCAGTATTTTAGAATCGATTGTGAAATGACGATAATTGTAATAAGTTCAGGTTATTTAATACAGCATGATTACAACCTAGGTCGTCAAAAACGGTTCACAGATTATTATCTGTGGTTATAGGGCCGTTACAACCAGCCAATAGCTTTCCCCGCTACCTGGGGAGCATATAGCGGGTTCTGCCTTTTAGGCGCACACAGTTAGCATTCAACAATTCCAGCACTGTCCAACCACCTACTCGTCATTTACAGCTGATTAGACTGAAACAAGCGGATAAAAGCATCTAGTTTGAGAATATGACGGGATTCGTATCCACGACCCTTCTTCAGTCGCAAGCCCGGCGTTCTACCACTAGACTACCGTGCCTCCAAATGACAGGTAGGCAAATTACGGGAAATTGCAGCCTTGGCCTTAGATATGTAGATTAATTAAATGTGTGCAACGATGCATGGCTATATCTAAAAATAGTTTACCTGGCTATGTGAAACAAATACGCCAACACCCTTTCAAAGCAGTGTTCCTTCTGTTCACAACACCACATAAGGAGTTTGTATACAAAGGAAACTAGAAAATGTCTGGAAGACATAAATGCCCCCGCTGCCATGTGAAATTAGTTTCAGTGTTCTATAAAAAGTTTGACCACTTTGATCTCGATACCCTGAAACAAACACACAGACAAGGTTCTACACTTAAAGTTGATAAGTTGATTTTAATATTCATATGTTTTTCTGTATGATATTACCATCTCCATAACATATTGAATGAAGTTGCCAAGTGTTTAAATCGAATCAGTTGATGATTTTCTATCTATAGCAACAGTGACCTTTGCCTTGACCTTGGAACCCTGAAACACAACGATGTCCGAAGTATATACTCATACTTGACCTTTGTATAAAGTTTGACCAAAATCTGTCACAGAATGAAGTTGCTTGGTGTTTACATTGAATCGGGACGGGACGCGACGCGACGGGACGGACATGGGCAACACTATATGCCCCCCCCCCCCCTATTTTATGGCGGGGCATAATAAAACCAAACTGACGATGGGGATTAAGTTGTGACAATTTGAGGGATAGGTATTTACAAATATCGAAATAGGTGTTCAGACTGGCGTTGAAGATGTCCGCTACCGGTTTCAGGGAGTGAACTCATAGTCTATCATTTCTTTTTTGAATGTCTAGTTTATACACACCAGTGGTTTGAATTGTTTCAAAATCTAAATTTTGTTAATGAAATCTCCTTAGATATATTGTTATCTGGTATTCCGGATCTGTCTTCTCAACAAAATAATGATATTTTTCGTAACGTGCAAAAATTCATAAAGACCAGCGGTAGGTTTTAATTCGTACGGCGTTTTATATATTTTTATACTCAATTTGTGAGACTGTTCAATGTTGTTCTTTCTCTTTTTGTTTCTGTTGTTGTAATGCTACTATAATACATATTATTTGATACCCAGTTGTGCCATGTTTGTAAATCTGATGTATATATTTGAGGAAAGGGCATAAATAATGTTGTAATAACTACCCAATCCTGTTGTCACTATTTTGGAAATAAAATATGTTTAAACTTACTCATAGTCTGTCGCTGCCTTTCGCCGTAATTCATTTGCGCATTGCTCTTCTAAAAAAAAACTTAAAAGTATGGGTCTCATTATTGCAGAGAAATTTTAGCAGTTTTGTTTTAATTTGTCCACCAGGATATTACCTGAAATAATTAATGTCATCCTGTGTGAAATCTGTGCATTTCGTAAAAAGTATATCAAATAACTTAAATTGTATCTGCATTGTAACAAAAACCCAACATCTTCCTTGTTTCCCTGTACTGTACAGGGGCGAGGCCGGGGTTAATATCAATCTCTACCCAGAGTTGTCGTTCCTTTTCAATCACACTGAACGTAACTCGGCGTGGATATTGAGTTTATAAATATAGATATATATAATGTTTAGGCAAACTGACAGGCGAGGGGGCTGTCCAGGCAGCGCAGAGCCATGGTAGGGGTTCATAAGGTTTCCTTATACATGTACATACATTTGTAATGTTGTTAAGATGCCTAATTGGAGTTTTCCCATTTACATCTGCGTAGTTGTTTTTATGAATGTCAAATTTAGTTTACCCTTAAAGTTTTCTTTCTTATACCAAACTTCTTAAGTGTAAGGATCCCTGTCCCACCTGCAATGTGATTTTTCGTGTTTATTGGCACAGTCCCTTTATATCAATGAAAACATGTTGTTTATAACTCTGTACAGTAATTACTTACAACCAAACTGTCGATTTGTAATAGGTTGGTATGAATAATAGCGCAAGTCTTCAAATGTTTATCAATGTCTCAGAAACATTATTGCAACTGCTGTTCTCGCGTACTCCAATTATACCATTTAGAGATAAACATTTTGACGAGTTTGACAACAGGAAAGGCTAACAAGAAACAAAGGGACGATAAACATCCGCATTCTATTTCATGGGATTGAAATCACAGTTTGGCGCTATTAATGAAGTTTCGTGTGTGCTGTGATTACAATGGGATAGGTGTTACAAACCGATACATTTCGCATCCTGTTTCAGGAGTTGAAATTATTGTCCGACGCGCTAAAATGATCTATAGGTTGTTCTATTGAACAAACAGCGAAAGTGGTTTAAATCAATGTCTGCCGCGGCTTTTCTGTGTACGTTACTTTATGAAATACACTTGTACAAAGGGTCATATTGTTTTGAGTTCTTTAGAAAAACACATTTGCCCTTGTATCCCCCGGTGGAAAGAGACGTGTTTGCCTGGATTGATAGATGGATGGATGAATGGAACGAACGAACAACGACGTCATAGAAATTATTTAAATGTTCATTGTCTTGTATGTATTAATAAAACGAGAAAAACAATAATACATTAATTTGTGTTATGTTAATAATACCGTCAAATTCAATTACACAGAAAAAGAAATCTTTGCACATGCACGAGGTTTTGATGGTAATTTAACGCATCGCCATCTTCAAGAGTTAAAAGTAGAGTAAAAAACATACTATTATCGCCTATTTTTGGTCTTTACGCTTTATTGGAAAAGCATTTCCTCTTATTCTGCATTAAAAATAATATACACTGTAAAGTATTTTCGAACAGACTTCCTTAATGAATATGTCTGTGACCTTTGACCCTTTTAAGTGTGCAACAAAAAAAATCAATATGTTTGAAAAACAGGAGTAGATATTCTGTATTTCAGTCTAATCGAGATACTTGACACTGCAGTGTTTATAAAAGTTTAACATTTCATTTGAACAGGAAATAACCAGGATTATTTACTGAACGAGAAAAGGATTTTTACAGAGAGTGAAACCAATTTCATACATTCAACTTAAACAAATAAAAAACAAAATTCGCTTCATTTTTATTTTAGTAGGAAAAATAAGCAGAATTGTGCTCTAAGAGATATTAAGTGTAGTTTGAGAACAAGTCAGTCCCTGATCTCGTACAGTCAACCGGAAGAAGCGGAAATGCGCAAAAGACCTCGGTAACCGCGTTGTTTACCTTCCAAAGATGTCAACAATCAGATTAGACTTATTCTTTGGCAGACGATCCCATTGACTGTAAGCGGATGAACGTAAAGACTCGGTAACCTAGACGTCAAATAGCAAGTAAGATTTAATAAGGTTTGGTATGGGTAACTCCTGAACCTTTTCCGGTAAATGATCTGGAAAGTGATCTCTTATGACCAAACGAACCAAATGTTTTAAGTCCCTAGGTTTCGCGGCCAATTTCTTCAGCAGTCTTTTGTCAGAGGCCAGTAGAAGATCTGCGCTTCTTATGTCAGACAGATCATACGCAGATGCGGCTTCAATCAAAAACATAAAAATGTCTTTCTCGGCCTCAACGTTCATGATGTAATTAAGAATCCCGAACGGGTCTTTGAGTCTGAACACTGTCATATCAGCCTGAAACGTTACTTTCGCGCCATATCGAATCAACAAATGAATGACGTCAAAATTTATATCATATCTGTTGTTCTTTATGTATTCTGAAAGGGGAGATAAACAAGGGTCCGTGTAACTAACATACGGAGAGTGGGCATTGACGTTTGCTCCATGTTTTAGCAGTATCTCAATGATGGACTTTCGTTCCTTTAAACCGGGGGTTGCACAAGACAGCATTAAAGGCGTGCCCCTGTCGTCTGATCTGACGTCAATTTCCGCCCGCCATTCCAACAACAGTTCGCACACTTCCTTCCGGTCAGATATTACCGCCATGTGTAATGGGGCGTATTTGAAATCTTCTATTTTTAAAAGACTAGCACCGTGTTCTAGGAGAGATTGTATTATTGCTGTGTTCCCTCCTTGAATGGCATAATAGATCGGCGTTTTGTGATCGAATCGCGCCGGACTAGCTATGTGTACATCCGCCCCATACTTGATGAGCAATTCTGTAGCTTCGTATTTACCCTCCGTACATGCTTTCATGAGAGGAGTTAAACCAATACGACTGAAAGCATTCGGATCACCCCCGTATTTCAGTAAAAGCTCGAGGCATTCCAAGTTGTCTAAGGAAACTAAGTTCACTTCATAACCCATGAAATACTTTTTGTTCGGTTTCGCACCTTTTTCGAGCATCAGGCGCACACATTCCACGTGACCACTTTCTATAGCCATGTTGAGTGGCTCGAGCGTAAAGTAACCAAGATTCTTGGAAGAGTCCTCCACCACACTTTCTTCATCAGAGTCACAGAAGTTGAGGACGGCCCCGTGATCAATGAGGACTCTGAGCGTATCTACAAACCCTCTTCGGGCACAGAGGTGCAGAGGTGTGTACCCTATGTCATCAGTAACGTTGACAACTGCGCCCTTTTCTATCAAAAGTTCCACACATTCTACATAGTTCACAAAAGCTGCATAGTGCAAGGGACGGAGTCCCTTCTTTACTTTGCCATTCACGTCCGCGCCACAACGTAGTATAACGTTCATGTCCTTCAGAGAAGACTTGTACGTGATAGCATCCGCTAGGAGGCGCTGTAAGGATTCAGCAGTCCACTCTGTTTTCCTTTTTTCACCGCCATCTTCATCGTCCTCATCATCATCTTCCCCTTTTTCATTTGTTCCCTAAAAAGTAAGTTAGACACGGAATAATTGTACATGTACATACAGGATATCTTTTTATTTTCTATTAATAATTTAAAGGATACAGGGGCTGCCCTCTGTGAAAGTTTCCCCGTTTATCCTTTTGAAACTCTTCCCTCAAATGATCTTCAACTTATCTTATGACAGAATGTGATGTTTAGCATTTAAAAACAAAAAAATATTGAATATAAGATGTCGACTGAGTTTGATCATTGTCGTTGACATCGATCTGATAACTAAGTTTAAAGGATGCTCTGCAAACGTCGTACTTATAGAAATCTACTTAAAGATTTTATTTTTCAAATGACAGCTTTAGTCAATAATATATCTACTTTGACGACTTCTTGTATTCATCATTATAAAATACGCCAAATGATGTTGGAGGATGTCAAATTCGAATTTCTACTGTACCACTTTGAGAAGTCATAGCGATTTGTAACACACATACAATATACAGACTGGGTAGTCGACTGGTGGGAACCATCTTTCATCATGACGGACAGGGTTCGATTCCCGGTGATAATTTATTTGGTCACCAGCACGACACTGTGGTTTTTCTCTGTATACTCTGGGACAGGTCGGTAGGGACTTCTTTTTATTTCATCTTAACTTTCTCTTAATAATATTTATAATTATCAATCTTATTTGGGGGGNTAGAAAATAAATAAAAAAAACAAAACCAGCAAAATGAAATTCCTAATGGCTAGTCCAGTGGATATGCTTTTCAGACCAATTATATTCATTTTTCATTATACTTCAATATTATTTTAAATGATAAGATAGAATTCCATAAAGACTTATTGGCCGTGACCTCCTGACCTCCTGACCCTAATGACCTAATGATCTAATGACCTCTTTCGTGTTGCTGAGCCGTTAAGAATCCTGTAATAATATAAGTCGCTTACGATTCAAATTGGACTTTTAAGTGCATTTAGGTATGATAAAATTGTAAGGGTCGGAGGTACAAACTACGGCCGGGCGGGGTACCTGAAACAAGTTCATAAAACTTGTATCGCTTGTAACTGGGGCCTGTGTAAGTCTAGTCTATGTCTACACCAGTCCCTCACTGTATGTATAATAACACCGATAAGACGGTTACTTAATCTCTTGTGTTGATATCCTAACGTCATTGAATCACTATGCGTTACACAACCTACAGACTGCATGTACATGTACATACATACACATATATTACACATTTAGTACGTTCTGCAGGCATATCGTTTTTATTCTAAAAATAGCCTGGCCCTTTCTATTATTAATATAAAATACAGAGTGTACCTTGAATTTAAACATGTTTATTCACTTGATAATAATAATTATAATTCGAGTTTCTTATATACCGCGTTATCGCAACATAGTTCCTAGGTCATCTCAAATCGGTTCACAAATTATCATCCGTGGTTATAGGGCCTTTGCAACCATCCAATATCCTTCTCAACACCCTGGGAAGCATACAGATACCCCCCCCCCCATGCCACACACATCACCCCTAGTACCAGACCCCCTAGGGCCTAGGGAAGTCAATTTTAGTGTCACATTTCTATTTACCTAAAACTAAAAGTTATGCTCTTCTTTTTACCTTGGTTTTTTTAAGTGAAGTTCCCACTAAGACTAACTTCAGTTTTCTGTCTTTTTATGCAGCAAACCGTCCCTTTTGTACATTAAACTCCATTTGGTTCTACATGGACAAACTCTTGACAATCTTATTAGAATCAACACGGTATTCTTATTATGGAAAATGATGACCCGTGAAAGGGGATATGGGAAGGTATAAAATACAATAACTAGTTACAGAAGTCGAGAGTAAGTTTAACTATTATTGACTAACTGACTGTTATGCATACATATATAGGCATAGCCCGAGTTTCCTCTGGCCCTAACACCAGACTTAGACATTTTGACATATAGATGTGTGTTAGGGTCAGAGGAAACTCGGGCATATATAGGCATAACAGGAATAGAACTTGAGCAAGTCTAGGTAGAAGAATCACTGTAAGGAGTATGTTGAATAAGGGTCCCGAACTTTAACCTACGTACTATAAAGAGGATACTTGAGCATCCATTATTCACACATACACTTACCTCTGTATCGTCCATATCCGCTGGACTAGCCATTGGCAATTCCCTTTCTGTTGGACACGGCTTCTTCTTCCTCTTCTGCACGCGCCCAGAAGGGGGTCTTAGAGGTTAGAGATATTTGTGATTATATTATATACGTAAAAAAACAACCAATACATCACATTTGATAGGGGCTTAGTATTAATGATCTTTTTTTAATATGCAGGTTTGTTCATATTCACTGGTTTTGGACATCACGTGTATTTTCTTCCTTCGTAAATATCATGTTTTATATGCCCCGTTGGTGCCTCCGGGTGTCAATTTCAGCAGCAGAATGTACTCGCGTGCTCTTGACGTCCATCACGTGTGTAGTGTATGTTGTAGACTTGCTAGAGTCTCCGTATCGTTGATTCACTGAAAGTTTATTATGCTTTGATGTGAAATGATGAAATACAGATTATGTATAAATATAAATTTTGATCCTTAATTACACTACAGTATAAATAATGTATTTCCTATGATGTACATAAAATGTTTTAACTTCGTGGTGGAAAACTCAGGAGCGAGTTTTTTTCCGATGTGTATAACTATATTAATGCAGGAAGCCTTATAGGATGTATACTCTATTAAACATATCAGGGTCATAATTTAACCGTATTTGTTTTAATTAGCTAACTACCACGGCTTAAATAATACACAATGAAACATCGAAATCAGAGCCTATATTTATTCATGAAACCATTCTCATGCTCAGACAAGTATTTTGTGCTAAATCATGTGACACAGCCAAAAGGTTGAGAGAATATTTTATTATTGTATCGCTGGAACTTTACATAATATTGGGCTTGAGCACAGGAATTTCAATTTTTGCATGAGAACGGTTTCATGAATAGGAGCCCCGATAATAAAACTGTGAAATATAACGCAAAATTAAGGGATGATTCGTTCTCATTTAAGGATCGCACCTAACATTGACAATAATGAAACTATTCAAACGAAACTTATTTTCCTGGCATGTGAAAAGAACACTTTACACTGTGAGACGTTTTATGAAAACATAACGGAGATGATATAAACAAAAATATAATCAACATATGTATTCTGAGTGTAAACTATAATGCGACGCCAGACCGGGATTCGAACCCGGCCCCAGATAATAAAACTGTGAAAGATAACGCAAAGTTAAGGGATGATTCGTTCTCATTTAAGGATCGCACCTAACATTGACAAAAATGAAACTATTCAACTATTCACATCAGGTTGTAAAGTGAGCTACCTGGACAACAGAAGTGTATCCAAACGTAGGTTAAGGGGAGGCTACTGTGTATAGGAAAAACGGCAGTGCTGTGGGACTAGGGTTCTAGTGGTAAATGGTATACGCATTGTAATTCGGTCACAGCGATTGATGACTTGTACATGTATAGTTAGTCCACTCCTTTGCCGCACACAGTGAACGTTACTTCTATTATTGTTCTTTGCCCTTTAAAGTTGTTAAATGTGTAATGTTGCTTAAAAAGGGACGGATTATCTCATAATTTACAAAGTATATGTCTCACCTGTCTATCTGAATACCTATCAATCATTTTTAGTAAACAGCCGTCTGAAAACCTTCTTTTGTTCGGACCCGAGGCCTATCATGTCCAAACACATCATACCCGGTGATTCAGTGTATCAACGCATTACTTGTGAATGATGTCATCAATATTGGCGAGTGTCCCAAACTTTTATGAATGGACACATCGGAAGGAGATCCACAGGAACGAGTACCGGTCACATGTACGTAAACAATGGGAAATAAGCTTATAAGTGTTTACCCTGTCATTTGTATCAAGTAAATCAATTTCCGTGTGTTTGTAAATAGCTTACATCCATTATGAAAATAACAATGGGGTTTTAATCTCGTCAGCAACGATTCATACGCCTCAAAGAGAAAGTTATGCATTTATAATTGCCAAACATACTGTATATAACTGACAAATCTAGTTGCTACCTATTGCTATGGTTACATTTGTACTATACATTTTCATATATTCAAGTTAATTATTAACCAAATTGTCCTATTAATCTGATAAAGACATAAATTTCCGATTTATTAACATAATACATTTTCTTGAAGCTGGGAATATGATTTATTCCAGACACGAACAAAATATGGTAGTCGCCTTGAACCTTAAAATACAGTCGTCATATTTTTGCATTGTCTTATAAGCGGTTGTTACCAATTTACGGAACGTGTCACCGATCACAATAATGTGGAGTTATGTTAAAATGCCAGTTATTTTCCTGTAGCACGAACTGTACCGATTTTGATATAGTTCTTGTTGTGATCAGGACGATTGTTATGAATCATTAACGTTAAAATCATTATTATCTTTGACTGGTTTATTAACCATATTTACCATAACAAAGCATTAATTTTCGGTATTACTCATACCACTTCCGGTTCCGCACGTGCTGATACGTATCAGATTATGCCGATCTAACAAATTGGTGGCTACAACTGCGCGCCGCTGTATACATATATAACAACAGATTTAACCCATTCAGAAAATGTATCGATCTGAACTGTCACTTCTACATCACGTTACTGAATGAACAAGTTTTGGAATGCAAGTGTAAGAGTTATATATGGATTGATTATTTGCTTATTGATAAGATTTTCAATTCTTCACAAAAAAGACTTATCGAACTCTTAAAGAGACGTTTATAACTTGGACATCAATTCATTCCATTTGATATTTTATACAAAGTGAAACATGTGCGGTTTATTTTTTCTTTATCAAGGCCTTCATCAATCGCTTCTAATCTCTTAACGCTGAATCAAAATCAGAAAGGTAAATATTTCGTAAAAAAAGGATTTAGCTGCCCGATTTATCAAATACGTGTTAAAACTATAAATAAAAAAGACGATTACCGTGTAGCCTTATATTATGAGGTCTGTAGGAAAGTTTATATGAGAATCACGGTGAGATACAATGTTCTTACAATATTACAATATCTATAACGATGTTTGCTTCGCAACAATACGTATACGATATTTATTTCACAACAATACGTATACGATATTTATTTCACATCAATACGTATCACGAAATTCACTTCACAATAACATGTATCACGAAATCTACTACACAACAATATGTATCACGATATTCACTTCACAACAATCTGTATCACGATATTCATTTCGCGATAATACGTATCACGATAGTCACTTCGCGACAAAATATATCCGATATTCACTTCACAACGATACGTATCACGATAGTCACTTTGTACCAATACGTATCGATACATCTACTTCGGAACAATACGTATCACGATATTCACTTCACAACAATATGTATCAAGATGTTTACTTGGCAACAATACGTATCACGATAATAACTTCGTGATAATACATATTATGATATTCTCTTTGCAACAATACGTATCGTTTCAGTTACTTCACAACACCACTGATCACGATAATTACTTAGCGACAATACGTGTATCGTTATATCTAATTGACAAAAATGTTTATCACGATATTTATTTCACATTTTTTTATTACGATATTAACTTAGCAACAATACCTATCATGATTTATTTCTGCATGAATACGTATTACGATATTTACTTTGTAACAAAAAGTATCACGATATTCATTTCAAAACAATACGTATCTCGATATTAACTTCGCGATGATACGTATCACGATATTCACTTCGCAACAATAAGTATAACGATATTCACTTCGCGATAATACGTATCACGATAGTCACTTTGCTAAGAAATATATCCGATATTCACGTCACAACGATATGCATCACGATAATCACTTTGTAACATTACGTATCGATACATCTCCTTCGCAACAATACGTATCACGATATTCACTTCAAAACAATACGTGCATTGCATCCCAATATTACATTCACAACAATACATATCACGATATCTACTTCGCATCAATACGTATCACGATATTCACTTCGTAACAATTAGTATAGCTATATTTACTTCGCAACAAAACGTTTCACGATATTAACTTTGCAACAATACGTATCACGATATTCTCGCAACGTATGCTGAAAATAGTTCATTCACAAGTACTAAACGTACATTGTACGATCAGACGTAGTCAACACATTCTACAGATGACCTGGCTACGCTGGCTGTTTTGTGTTGTTTTGCTGTTCCGTCTTTTCGCGCTGGTTTCTTTATAAAACAAGAACAGCATGCGCAGTTTTTTAAATTTCGACATTCGGGGAGAAAAGAGGAAACAACGAGAACCAATGTTTGTGATGTACTGTATCACCATTTCGGGGCAAAAAGGAGGGTGGGAATAAATTCACAAAATCAGCACCATAACACGTAAATGAATCAACCCGAATCTGCAGAGCCCTACATGTAAATCAGATCCTTGATTATATTACGATATTCAATGTCGTTATATGGAGCAGCAAAGTATATTGATATATTTAATCATACGAGAGCGACCACACAGGGACAGTGTAATTCAGAAATGTACGTCAATTTCCATTTTCCATTACTTTTAACGAAGTCTGAGAACTGAACACTTGACAGCAAAATGAGTACTTGTATTTGTAATTCCTAATAACAAAACGAAACTCGGAATAATGACAATACACTGTAAGATGAGTACTTGTCTTTTCGGTAAAAAAGCCATGGTCTACAAAACAATAGTTAATTATATTAGTTAATCAACTGCAAATGAACCATTATAAAACGCATTTTTTAATCGTTCTTTAAACTGTTGAGCACTATGAGCTATGACCGATTTCATAACCAATTAACGTTGCATTTTGAGGCAACGCATGCTGTTATTTATATGTACAGTATGCATCTGGAAATATATATAAAATACTATCCGATTAAAGAAAGCTTATACAGTTCAATTATTCGTGATGAGTTTTTTGAGTTGCTGTATGTATGTGTACATGCACCTATGTATGTTCTGTATGTGTGTGTGGTTGTTTTTCCAATTTTTGTTTTTGACATTCAAATATTGTAATATCAAAGGAAGTCGTGGAGAGGGCTTATATAACCTATGCCTGTTGCCAAATCCGATTGATTATTTAATCCATAAAATACATTTGAAATGAATATGAGAGTTTGCGATGCTCGT